AAGCATCCTGACCAAGTTTGATGATAATTGAGTCGAAAATGTGACCACTAGAATGTTAACAAGGTTTTTCCATATTTGGGCGGTGTGACCTAGTTTTTCATCCAAGATGACCCATGTACGAACTTGACTTAGAAATCATCTAAACAAACTTTCACACCAATTAACAGAATATTTGGATCACAACAGTAGCCACTAGAGTGTTAACAAGATTTTTTCTACTTTTAGCTCCTGTGACCTAGTTTTTCATCCGAGATGACCCATGTTCGATTTTCCCAGCAATGACCTAGACAAGTTTCCTGACCAAGTTTGATGACAATTGAGTCAAAATTGTGACCACTAGAGTGTTAACAAGGTTTTTCTATTTTTAGCTCCTGTGACCTAGTTTTTCATCCGAGATGACCATGTTCGAACTCATCCGAGCTATCACCTAGACAAGCACTTTGATCAAGTTTGATGATGATTGATGCAAAAATGTGACCGCTAGACTGTTAACAAGGTTTTTTTTCTATTTTTAGCTCCGGTGACGTACTTTTTCATCCGAGATGACCCATGTTCGAACTCATCCGAGTAATCACATAGACAAACATCCTGATCAAGTTTGATGATGATTGAGGCAAAATTGTGACCACTAGAGTGTTAACAAGGTTTTTCTATTTTTAGCTCCGGTGACCTACTTTTTCATCCGAGATGACCCATGTTCGAACTCAATCCGAGCTATCACCTAGACAAGAATCTTGACCAAGTTTGATGATGATTGATGCAACAATGTGACCGCTAGAGTGTTAAGATGGTTTTTCCTATTTTTAGCTCCAATGACCTACTTTTTCATCCGAGATGACCATGTTCAAACTCATCCGAGCTATCACCTAGACAAGCATCTTGACCAAGTTTGATGATGATTGATGCAAAAATGTGACCGCTAGAGTGTTAACAAGGTTTTTCTATTTTTAGCTCCGGTGACCTACTTTTTCATCCGAGGTGACCCATGTTCGAACTCATCCGAGCTATCAACTAGATAAGCATCCTGACCAAGTTTGATGATGATTGATGCAAAAATGTGACCGCTAGAGTGTTAACAAGGTTTTTCTATTTTTAGCTCCGGTGACCTACTTTTTCATCCGAGATGAGCCATGTTCAAACTCATCCGAGCTATCACCTAGACAAGCACTTTGATCAAGTTTGATGATGATTGATGCAAAAATGTGACCGCTAAACTGTTAACAAGGTTTTTCTATTTTTAGCTCCGGTGACCTAGTTTCTCATCCGAGATGACCCATGTTCGAACTCATCTGAGTTATCACATAGACAAACATCCTGATCAAGTTTGATGATGATTGAGGCAAAATTGTGACCTCTAGCGTGTTAACATGGTTTTTCTATCTTTAGCTCCGGTGACCTAGTTTTTCATCCGATATGACAAATGTTCGAACTCATCCGAGCTTTCACCTAGACAAGCATCTTGACGAAGTTTGATGATGACTGATGCAAAAATGTGACCGCTAGAGTGTTCACAAGGTTTTTCTATTTTTAGCTCCGGTGACCTACTTTTTCATCCGAGATGACCCATGTTCGAACTCATCCGAGGTATCACCTTGACAAGCATCTTGACCAAGTTTGATGATGATTGATGCAAAAATGTGACCGCTAGAGTGTTAACATGGTTTTTCTATTTTTAGCTCCAATGACCTACTTTTTCAATCGAGATGACCCATGTTCAAACTCATCCGAGCTTTCACCTAGACAAGCATCTTGACCAAGTTTGATGATGATTGATGCAAAAATGTGACCGCTAGAGTGTTAACAAGGTTTTTCTTTTTTTAGCTCCGGTGACCTACTTTTTCATCCGAGGTGACCCATGTTCGAACTCATCCGAGCTATCAACTAGATAAGCATCCTGACCAAGTTTGATGATGATTGATGCAAAAATGTGACCGCTAGAGTGTTAACAAGGTTTTTCTATTTTTAGCTCCGGTGACCTACTTTTTCATCCGAGATGAGCCATGTTCAAACTCATCCGAGCTATCACCTAGACAAGCATCTTGACCAAGTTTGATGATGATTGATGCAAAAATGTGACCGCTAGAGTGTTAACAAGGTTTTTCTATTTTTAGCTCCGGTGACCTACTTTTTCATCCGAGATGACCCATGTTCGAACTCATCTGAGCTATCACCTAGACAAACATCCTGACCAAGTTTGATGATGATTAAGGCAAAAATGTGACCTCTAGAGTGTTAACAAGGTTTTTCTATTTTTAGCTCTTGTGACCTAGTTTCTCATCCGAGATGACCCATGTTCGAACTCATCCAAGCTATCAACTAGATAAGCATCCTGACCAAGTTTGATGATGATTGAGGCAAACATGCAACCGCTAGAGTGTTAACAACTAAATAAGAACGGACGACGGCCGACGGACGACGGACGGACGACGGACAATCATCGATCCTAAAAGCTCACCCTGAGCATGCTCAGGTGAGCTAAAAAGTCTTTATTATTTCTATGACAATTATTATAATAGACATCTTGTATGATTTTTCAATATCTTATTATATTTTAATTGGCAACGTCAGTGACTCAGCTTCGTCTCTTATGAAACACCATTTTTATCGCACATGGTAGGAGCTTTTATTATTAACAGTGTGTCTTGTTGTGTTTTCCTATTCATTCTTGATAAATCAAGTAATCAAATATGTTGTTATATTTGTACTTAATAACTTTATTTGAAAAGCATGTGCATTTTGTATTCATTTTTATGAAATGATGGGCTCAGTTTAACCGCTTACTTTCGCTTTATTGGTAATACAAAAGCCGGACTCTTAATATTGTTGGTGACTACATTGATGTCTATTTTAGTGGAATAAACTGGTATTGCCATTTGTTGTCATTTATCTTGGATTAAGTTTTTCTTATCTTCACTGTTAATACTTTTTTTTGTGTTATGCATTGTTTATTGTTTTGTTATGTATACTGTTATGTCAAACTTCTTTTGGTAAGGTATGGATTGATGTAAAATGGATTATTAAACACAACTTTATATCTTTTGCGCTTTTGTTAGTATTTCCCTGTTTGTGAACACATATTTTCTGTAAATAATTGATTTCAAGATCTTGACCAAGAGCTTTTAAATTGGTTGATAAATCATACAATGATACATCAAAATAATGATCGCAGTAGTAAGTATTTATGCATCAGTATTTTCTAACTTGTTTTTACTTTTCCTCACCTTTGACCAAGATTAAGGAAGTTAACTTACAGTCACATGGGTAGTTTTAAATATGAAACAAGAGCCATGTCAACATGGCCACCCCCCGCCGAATGTGTTTGCTCATTGGAAGAATGTATATGTAGTAGAACAGAATAATTCTATTTTAAGAGGTCTTTTGGTAATGAAAACTGATGGCTATAGTGATTACAGATTTGAAACCTATGTGAAAACTGATGGCTGAAAATAACAAAGGGCAATTACTGAAAAATAATGCAGGGTAGGTTATCATTCTTGTGTGCTGCATCCCTCCTCAGTAAAATCTATCCACCTATGAAGTTTCAAGTTGATACCTCAAATACTTTTTGAGAAAAAAATTGAATTGAAAAATTAAGTATGAAAAAGAACAAAGGGCAATAACTCAAAAATTATAAAAGGTAGAGTTATCATTCTTGTGCAGTGCACACCTCCTGAGTGAGATCTATGCACCTATGAAGTTTCATCTTGATATCTCAAAGGCTTTTTGAGTTATGCTCTGGAAAAAAATCAATTTTGAAAAATAACAAAGGGCAATAACTCAAAAATAATGCAGGATAGAGTTATCATTTTTAAGCACTGCACTCCTCCTCAATGAGATCCATCCACCTTTGAAGTTTCAAGTTGATAACTCAAATACTTTTTGAGATAAGCTCTGGACAAAATAGCATGAAAAAAAGGGCAATAACTCAAAAATTGTATAGGGAAGAGTTATCATTCTTGCGCACAACATTCCTCCTCAATAAGATCTATCCACCTATGACATTTCATGTTGATATCTCAAACACTTTTTGAGTTATGCTCAACTCAGTTGAAAAATTAGGTATGAAAAATAACAAAGGGCAATAACTCAAAAATTATGAAAGGTAGAGTTATCATTCTTGTGCAGTGCATACCTCCTGAGTGAGATCTATGCACCTATGAAGTTTCATGTTAATATCTCATAGGCTTTTGGAGTTATGCTCTGGACAAAAATCAATTTTGAAAAATAACAAAGGGCAATAACTCAAAAATCATGCAAGGTAGAGTTATCATTCTTGTGCACTGCACTCCTCCTCAATGAGGTCTATCCACCTATAAGGTTTCAAGTTGATAACTCAAATACTTTTAGAGATATGCTCCGGACAAAAATGTCGGACGGAAGGACGGACGGACGGACGGAAGGACGGACGGACGGAGACTATTTCTATATCCTCCGCCAAAATTTTTCGGCGGGGGATAATAAATGTATAAGAAAATGTTTTGTGTGTTTGCTGTTGAATGCTATAAGAAACTTACATTGCTTCATAGAACACTTGAGTGAACAGGTGCAAGGGTTCTTAAATTAACTTGTTTACCATTACTAACAGAACAAAATGGCTCGGTTTATATTCCTCGTAATTATATAATTATCCTTAAACTGCAATACATTTTGTGAAAACTGGGTCAAACTTGCAATCAAGGTCAGTCTTCATATCCATTTAGTCTTATCTCAATCTGGACTGTTTATTAGTCAGCAATAATTTTTTGTCTATCCATTTATAAATGATACTATTTAAAATTAAAGTGCAAAGTCCAAATAAGTTACAGCCCACATATTACGGTAAAATTTGATTTTGTTGTTTCTTCAGTTCAAGATGACGTGGACACTGACACTAGTGCAAAATAGTAAATACTTTTCATCTAGAAATATATTTTGGCTTCGCCTTTGATCGCAATGCTTACTTGTTTAATGAAGTAAAGACACAAAAATAGAAGCTTGGAGACAATACAAAGTTAACTTACAAATTCTTGTTCCTTGAACATAAAATGGTCAGGTTTGCTGGCTTTCAAGTCTACAATAGTGGAACTGCATTCTGGCCATACACTGTTCATCGCCCTAAAGTAGGTCAGTCTAGATGCAAGTTTCTGGTAGGCAATATGCACAGTCACTAAACTATGTAGCAGGGAGTTCTCTGATAAGGTATTTGCCATTTGAGTGGTTAAATACAACACTGACTGACATACCAACTAAAAAAGAAAAGTAAAGAAATTCAACCATAATTTTTTGTTTACCTTCAATTATTAAACAAAATCTTGACTTAAATTTTGGCATAAACTTTAAATTTAAATGATATAAATTTAATGCTGATTAAAAATGGTAAAAATAGGGAGTCTTAAATTTTAAAAAACAACTAGAGAAAATCGGAAATGTTTCCAAATCGGTTTGTTCAAGCCAGTTTATGGATGACAATGTCCAATAATTACAGAGTTGTATATCAACTTTAAAGGGATATTCAGGCAAAATAATGACAAAAATATTAAAATGATCTTATGTACTCAAATCACGCTAAAATGACTTTTCATGAAGTTTCAGCATGAATTTTTTGTTCAAATTCTATATATTTTGGGTTTGAAGCGTAAATATATCTATATATGCTGAACAATATTCAGACGCCAATAGAATCACCAAATACACGTAGTTTTAAAACAAGTCAGGTGATTTTTTGTTTGATTTGGGTTTTACGTCACATCGACACAGTAGGTCATATCGCGACGTTCCAGCTTTACTGGTGGAGGAAGACCTCAGGTGCCCTTCCGTGCATTATTTCAGGCACGAAAGGGTACCGGAGTAGAACCACCGACGTTCCGTAAGCTAGCTGGATAGCTTCCTCACATGAAAGAATCCAAAGTCCCAGTCGGGATTCGAACCCACAGAGGTGAGGGGCAAGTGGTTTGAAGTCAACTACCTTAACCACTCGGCCACGGACGCCCCAAGTCAGGTGACTTGAACAAACCCTTGAAGTTATAATAACAAATATTGTGGATATTGTATGATTGAAACAAGCCTAAGTCATTCATTTGACATGTTCTGTAACGTTTCCAGAGTTCACTTTGACAACTATTGTGAAATGCTAACGCTCTAACTTGACCCACGCGGGTCAAGTTAGGAAACCACCAGTTTATTCTTTATATGGAGAAAAGTTTTGTTCCTTTGACTGTCTAATATATTCATTTTGAGGGCATTTACAGAATAATGAATGAAAAATTCAAAACTAAGAAAATGAAAATTTTGCCTGTGTCTCCCTTTAAACATTTTGTAGATCAACATCATTGCAATACTTAATTTATCTTGATTCGCTAAATATAGCTTAAACAAGTTCTCAAAATTAGAAATCATACAGGTTTTTGTTGGAGAAGAACTGGCATTATGACAAAAAAGGAACAACTTTTACTCTGTCTTTGTTTTTTTTCTCCCTGTCAAACTATTTGAATAAAGATATCGGTCTATGTGGCATGTTTTTTTTTATTAATGAAATGAAATTTAATACCAACAATTTATTTTGCTTGCAAAATATTAATAAACATTTACCTGATGTTCTTGCCCAGATGCAGCGTGATACATTGTGTGAACAAAGTCATGTAAATATTCTTGCAAAGCATCTGTTAGTGCTTCTTGTTGATTAATACAGCTTAAAACCTTCCCTATGGCTTGTTCACTCAAGATGTTTACCGAAAATTCTGCGCTTTTAATAATGTCCTCATCTTCTGTAACATTTATTATTTTATTTTAATAATGCAATTACCTTATTTATATTAGCAAGCTAAAATTTATATTTATTAAACAAAAACATTGAATTTGGCATTGACATGATCTATTCTTGATAGGCTTTCTCTTAAATTCAAGAAAATTAAGAAAAGATAAAATTAGAGGATAAAAATGTAGCCGTGGAGTTTATTAGAAATTGCATACATGTGTTCTGTATTTGATATAAACATTGACATGTGTCATTTACATTCTTTTGTTGAAAACAAAACACTAAACTTAAATAAACAAAATGTATAAATAATGTAAATATGTTTAGGTTTTGACCTCTTTAGATCTTACCATCATGCTCATTTGAATCTGCCACTGGAAGAGGTAATTTCAAGAGATCATTGATCTTATTTATAAGAAGCCAAGAAAATGGCATTCTTGCACTGAAAAGGTGACCTTCACATCCAGTTGTCATAACAACTACCTCTTGAAGATCACTCTTTCTTGTTGGTGATTGTAAATCTGCAAACTGTAAAATGAATTTTAAAAAGTTACAGTTTTCATAAAATGTCTCTTATATATCTGGTCTTATGAAGTAAACTCTTTACCAGCTGATTTTGTGGTGTATAAGTGATTTGCTTTGCTGGACATTTGAACTGAAAGGATATATCAAATAACAATAATAGGGCTACCAACAGTACACAGCCTGGTCAGACGGCACTAATGTGCAGGATTACCTGGCTTTTTCAGGGGGCAAAGGTTAATCACTTTTGGTTCCAGAAAAGTTAAAATTAACAGTTAATAAAAAAACAAAAAAATAAAATCAACAACAAATGATATTTTATTATTAAATCTTGCCCTACGTGCAGAAAAGGTTTCGATTATTTACTGTACATAGAGTAGAGGAAAATATAGGCTAACTGTATTTTAGTTGGTTGATTAAAATAAAACAAAGAAACAATTTAAATTAATGCTTTACATGTTTTTTTTTAAAGAACACACACTGCATACAAGATGGAAACACATTTAGGCATAAACCTTATAATAAACCAATTATAATACCTTCAGACTGATGGCATCAACTGTGTTAAGAATGGTCAAAAACAGTTTTTGTTTCCAATCACAGTCTTCTTGCAGTATTTTGATGTTATCATTAGTGTCCAAATAGGCAATGATGCCAGCTAAAATTGGAGCAACTTTAGTCTCCAAGGTTTGTATACATGAGCGTCTAAAATAAAAAAAAAGATTGAATTTACAAACAATGATTCTAATACCTGTATATTGGTACAGTTTGACTTAAATCTTAAAAAAGAATCGAAACTATATATTATACTGTGACAAGTTTCATACTTTTCTATTCAAGTTTGAAATATAGATTATATTTTCTATTCATCTTAATTCTGAACTTTTTAGCATATTATATCTAAAGAAAATGTTAATAAACCTAAAAGTTCCAGCTTTGTTGATGTTTTCTTTGGAGGCCGCCTCATTTATCAGCCAATTTTTTGCCATGTAGGCAATATGAGTCCTCGATTCCTTTTCTTCCAGAAGCTTGGCAATTAGACAGCAAATTCCGTGTAGGAAAGAAGCTTGGCCTTAAAATGATTTAAAACAAACAAGACATATATCATTTTGACTATATATACCTGCATAACAAACATTAAGTTATCAGCTAGCAAACTAATGTTTTGTTTAAAAAGTACAAACTAGCATTGTGTCCATAGTTCACTTATCACGCCACTTCATTTGGTGTCAGAGATGTATATGTAAAAACCTTTGCATATCTTAAATCAAGTGATATATTACAAAGACATATATGTATGTAAATATAAAATAATATCATAACTTCAAAACTAGTTGATAACACTCTTGCCATTGATTCGGCAAATATTTCATTTGTCATGATATTCTCAATCACTTTGACGTCATAAGATTTTGGAAGATCTCCTAGTCAAGAGCATCCTCAATGCCAAATATAATGCATAAGCAAAGGTATTTCTTTGGTAACTGGTCAGAAAACCTTTTAGTGGGCAATGGTGACTTGGACATTTGACTTATTGACATAAATCAATATGGGCCTTTGTACTCTACTAAAGCGCTCTCTGACAATCATAAGGTGGTTAAGACCATGATGATGCTGACCTCAATATCAATAACCTTCCAATAGTAGGACTGGAGGCCAAAACTTTAATTTATTATTGATCAGACAAGCTCTTGGGTAACCTTTTTACCTCAAAGCAATAGGGGTGATCTACTTGTCTTGACCAACCTCCATACTAAATCTTAAAACTGTAAAGTTGTCAATTCTATGAAATATGATAAACAAGAACAAGGAAAGGCAGCGTTCAATTAACGCAGTACTTTATGCTCGAAATCAATACTGGTCATCCACAAGTCATGACCATCATCAACATTATATCCTAGGCCTGAGAGCTAAAGTGCTCTCTAGTTAGTGACGGAACATGCTTTCAGGTAACCGTTTCCCCTCGAAATTAATAGGGTCATACAATTGGTCTTACAAGCCCCTAGTGGGCAAGGCAATGGCGGCCTTCTCTTTTTCACCTTAAAGCTCGTCCTGCAAAGCACTCGCCCTGATCACTATAATTTTTTTACCGTGCAAGGTATTTACAAAGTATATATAAAATAAAATATTTAGCAACATAAATGAAGGTTCATATAACAAAAGTAGAGGCTAAAATATAAGTGAATCTCATTTACGAGAGCTACGTTGATTATAATAACAAGAGGGCCACGATGGCCCTGAGGCAGCTCACCTGTATATAGGCCCCCAACCCCCCCCCCCCCCAACGTTGCAGGGCCAATTTAACCCAAGGGCTTTTATTTGCACAAACTTGGTAGACACCCATAAGAAGATGTTTCATGCTAAACATCTAAGCTCTAGCTCATTGGGCTTTTTAAAAGAAGATTTTTACTATACACATATAGTTAAAAACAATGACACCCCTGGGGCCGGGCCAGGGCTTTTATTTGAACAAACTTTGTAGACACTTACTAGAAGATGTTTCATGCTTAATATCTAAACTCTAGCTATTTGGGTTTTTTCAAAGAAGATTTTAAGTTTTTGCTATACACATATAAAGACAATCAATGACCCTCGGGGCGGGGCCAATTTTGACCCCAGGGCTTTTATTTGAACAAACTTTGTAGACACTCACTAAAAGGTGTTTCATGCTTAATATCTTAACTCTAGCTATTTGGGTTTTTTTCAAAGAAGATTTTTAAGTTTTTGCTATACACATATAAGGAAAATCAATGACCCCCGGGGCGGTACCAATTTTGACCCCAGGGCTTTTATTTGAACAAACTTGGTAGACACCTATTAGAACATGTTTCATGCTAAATATCTTAGCCATAGCTCTTTGAGTTCTTTAAAAGAAGATTTTTTAAGTTTTTACTTTATGCATATAGGGAAAATCAATGACCCCGGGGCGGGGCCAATTTTGACCCCAGGGCTTTTATTTGAACAAACTTGGTAGACACTTATTAGAACATGTTTCATGCTAAATATCTTAGCTCTAACTCTTTTGGTTCTTTAAAAGAAGATTTTTTAAGTTTTTACTATATGCATATCGGGAAAATCAATGACCCCCTGGGGCGGGGCCAATTTTGCCCCCAGGGCTTTTATTTGAACAAACTTGGTAGACAACTATTAGAACATGTTTGATGCTCAATATCTTAGCCATAGCTCTTTGAGTTCTTAAAAAGAAGATTTTTAAGTTTTTACTATATGCATATGGGGAAAATCAATGACCCCCCGGGGCGGGGCCAATTTTGACCCCAGGGCTTTTATTTGAACAAACTTGGTAGACACCCATTAGAACATATTTCATGCTAAATATCTTAGCTCTAGCTCTTTGGGTTCTTTAAAAGAAGATATTTAAAGTTTTTTCTTTCGGTTGCCATGGCAACCAGAGTTCTGCATGGAATTAAATTCTTTGAACAATTTTTAAAGGTGACCACCAAAGGAACATTCCTGTGATGTTTGGATGAAATTGGCTTATTGGTTTATGAGGAGATTTCATTTAAAGTAAAAGTTTACGGACGGACGACGGACGGACGGACGCCGGACGAAAAGCGATCACAAAAGCTCACCCTGTCACTTTGTGACAGGTGAGCTTAAAATGATAAACATTTTTTGAAAGTAGTAAAATTACCTTCATCTTGATCTTGATACATCAATTTCAGTACTAGGGCCACTCTGTCTGTTTCTTTACTTGTATTTTCCTCTTTATCTTTAACCATTGACAACGCTGCCTGCACACAGGCTAATACTAAACCTTCAACATTTTGTCTGTTTTGTCCATATCCTCTTGGACTGGTGCGATGTGTTCCAACATGTTTGAGGTCAAAAAGGACATCATGTAACTGTAGGGGTTTCCCAATACCAAATTTATTACCTAACACTTCTTCTGTTTCCATCCTCATCCAATCATTACCTTTACTAGAACCTGGTCTGGGAGAAAAATTTCCTGCTTCATTTCCGCTCAATTCCATATCTTCTATAACTTCAACACTTAAAGAAACAACCGTTGTCTATCAAATATTTAATAAAAGCATGAAATATCAATTAAATAACATCCTTTAAACTGTCTTTAAAACTTATTGTGATTCAAATTCAATAATAAACAAGAGCTCCGTAAAATACGCCCAACGATAAATTTAAAAGAATGTTTCATGGACGAAATATGCCTTTTAAAGTTTTCTTCCAGAAACGAATAATCTTACTGATAATTGCTTAAAAAGGGATGCTACACATTCAATTTACGTTGAATGTAGAGAAAATCAGCTTAAACATAATTATGCATAGATATTACATATATAAATATTCGAGGACAGACGCGCATCAACATACTATTATACCTCCCGAAATTTCTTCGAGCAAATTAAAACTGTAATATTTGTAAATTATCATAATTTCCAAACAAACCCTCTTCCATTTGTTTGGATTATAAGTCACCATGCATTAAGTATTTCAGTAATTAAATAAAAACATATGACAAAAGTGATCCATTACAGATCTGACTTTACGACAAAGATAGATCGTTTGAAAACGTGAATCTTGTCCAATAACATAAGACGCCTTCAGCTTGTTCCTATGACACAAATTATGAAACAAATTATAACACAAATTCTGACACTAATACAGATTTGTAAATTATCATAAATTTTCAAACAAACCCTCTTTCCATTTCTTTGGATTATAAGTCACCATGCATTAAGTATTTCAGTAATTAAAAAAAAACATATGACAAAAGTGACACATTACAGATCTGACTTTACGACAAAGAGAGATCATTTGAAAACGTGAATCTTGTCCAATAACATAAGACGCCTTCAGCTTGTTTCTGTGACACAAATTATGAAACAAATTATGACACAAATTCTGACACTAATACAGATAGGTATTCAATTGTATTTTAATATTCTTATCTTACAAAATACTTTATTAGTATATTAACTGACACATCCTTTTGTATTTCACCCTAAAAAACTGTACAAAAAACTATTCACTTCTCTCTCTCCATTGTGTCTTCAGTTTCCATTGCAACACCGCCTGTTACTGCATCACTGAATATTTTGGCCACTGACTTGTCTTGCATATCTCTCAATTTTGGCATGTTCATATCAGCTGTGTACAAGTCATCTATATGTACTGATTGCCAAACTCCACACTGAATAGATTGAGATACTATGTTATAATATGTGTGTTAAAAGAAAATAATAAAACATATTGCTCAAGACTCGTGTGATAGCAATCTATATGTTCAATCATACAGAAAACATTAATATGACGATATTCATTCAACAAAATTTAAAAAAATCCAAATCAAGTAAATGAAGTATGTCTTACAGACTAAGCAGTAGGCTTAATTACATCGTTCAGATACCAATAATTTACATATTGCAATACATGTCTATTGGATTACCTGAAATTGCATTATTAAAACCCCTCTTAACACCTGTTAATTACACATACTATTATTAGTTATGGACAAATGATGCCTAAATAGGTATAGGTCAAAACATTTAAAAATTTAAAAACTTACCTGAAATCCTGTAAATGAGGCCCCTCGAGGGAGCTGTACAATAAATACAACATGCACAGGCGCTTGTAGTTCCCCGCGCATCTTTTCATACTCATCCATGACACAGTAACGAGCACACGCAATCAGATTGGCGTTCACATCACCAGAGTCACACTGTATCACCATAAGACTTGGCTCTTTTCCTGGAGTTTGAATGTGTTGCCTAAAATATGGAAAAAAATGGTCAGCTTGTGATATTCCAATCATCTTAAGTATACATGTATTTTTTGACTAAAGAAATGAATCAATGTCTAAGCAATCCTAACTTATTTTTTCAAGCATTACTGATGTATAATGGAATGACTTTTTACACCATATCATCATTATTTCCTTCATTAACATTTATATGTGAAAATATTAGTATATATTTTAAAGAGAAATGAAGAAATACCGATGAAACCCTAATAAAACAACCATGCATCATACCTACCTGTATATGAAAAGTGTACCAGTACTTGAATTACTTTTTTATTCGAATTTGTTATCAAAATGTACTTACTGAATTCTGTTACTGAACTGTTGTTCTGTATCAAAGGATGACAAAGTTTCCAATAGCAGTATTCTGTCTACACGTATTCCACAGGCTTTACTGATTTCTTTCTTGTGAACACCTGCCATCAGTTTGGAATGTGTTGTTATCTGTAAAACATAAAAGTCATCAGCTATCAAATCTCTTTTTTTTTATTGTAGATAGTGTGTGAGGTCCTCGGGAATGAAATTCTATGTCACAATGGCAATTTTAGCTCCTCTATTCATTATCCAGCTTTACTGCTAATTTTGCTTATTATCCAAATGCTCTTTCTAGGCGTATAGTAACAATAAGAATAATATACATATTGAGATTTTGCATGTTTAAATCACCATCACAAAACAGTAAGCAATTAAAATCACCATGTGATATTTTACATTTTTACCCTTGCCTTGGTCTTAATACAGACAGAAAATACATAAGAAAATTACCATACCACGCATCTAAATATAGGCATTTGGAATATAAAAGTCTTCATCTGTTGGTAAAAAAAATAGATTAGTACTGGCCTTGTAAAATTGTAAGAATAGTTAGTAAGTTACAGAATTTTCATATTACTGTTAATTCTTGTTTTATTTGACAAATTTCATGAGCACTGCGCATGACAGGGATTTTATTCGCATTTTGGTGTTGCCAGCGTTGGGAATTTTCATGCTATTTTGCACAAAATTCAGAAAACTCGCACTGTAATATATCATTGTAATATATCAAATAAACCTATTAAACAGTTGGTTCATTCAACTTTTTGTTATAACTTCAATCCATTATCTGGAATTCAAAAATACAATTTGCTTTAGTACAGGTCAATTAAATGTCACAAAATTCACAATTACTTTATCCTTTTTAGTTCTTCATGTTTTTCACTTGAATCGGGAATTTTCTCTTTCGAATTGGAAACATGGCAAAATATCTGAGTTTAATATGAGTAAATATTTCTTCATTACAACATGATTTGATGACGTTTTGAATGAGATTGCAGGAGGATATGCGAAAAAAAATCAGTCAAAAATATTTAAACGGAGTTCACCGATATTGTTTGACAAGATCGTGATTCCTTACATGTACAAAAATAAAATATGTAAAATATGTCACAATCTGGGCACGTGAAGTTGCTAACTTAGTCGAATAAATACTGAGTCTTGATTTTAAGGCTTATTAAAGTATGTCACGATTTTGACATGTGACACTGCTGCTGCTACGTTGAATATATATTGGGTTATAAATATTAAACTATACATATTATTTATAGTAAAACATCACAAAGGAGAAAGTCGTTGTTAAGTTTATAACTTTCAATAAAGCACTAAGCTCAACGATTATAGATCAACAATAAAATATGAAATATTTCTAACGCATTAATACCAATTCTTAATGTTCTTCACAGATTGAAAATGCAATCGTGCAATTCACACAAGAGAAATTCAATTAATAATGTAATCATGCAAGTCACACAAGAAAAACTCAATTAATAATGTAATCATGCAATTCACACAAGAGAAATTTACTCTTCAAATATCATATATTACCAAATGTACTTATTATGAATATAACTAGTTGCTTTGCATCAGAAATATCACTTAAACCTTGTGTTAACAATTCTTAATAACTGTGGCCTTAAAACTTAAATAATTCACAATGCTTTCCTAATTGTAAACCTTCTTATTTTATAGCTTCCCACAGATAAGAATACGCGCGAAAACAAAATAGCGCACCAGTGAACCGTGACAAAAATAGCAGAAATGTTTATCACTGACAATTATAAAATATGTATAAATATTTGTTATAAATGAAACAGTTTATCAAAACTTTTAAGTGAATAAAATTGTCTATCTAGATAAAATAGCCCGCTTACTCTTAGCTGACTCCTCGAAAAGCGGCAATCCCAGCCTATTTGTACTAAATCTGCAGCCGCAACCAAAGTGCAACCTAAAAACTGACTGATCACCCCAGAAAATGGTTGCAGGTAAATGCACCTGAAAAATAGTCTGCTTCCAACCAAAGTGCACCAAAAGAAATGGTTGAGCACCCATCAAATTGGTTGCAGTCTTAAAAAACTTACAAGGACTGATTAACAAGAAAATATGGCCATCTCGGCAAGGTCTACATTACTGGTTTAAAGTACAAACTAAATAACAGTGCCATGTACCTTAGACAGGTTTAAATTATCGATTTTCTACAGTACCTAGGTTCAACTGCACTTAGTTACCAAAAACAAATACCACACTGCATTGCAAACAACATGGCGTCCATGTAAAGTTAGTGTAATGTGTTTACATTGCACTATTGCAATAACACTTTGGCAAAACGTTAAAGGATTTACGCAAGGAAATAAACAAACAGTTTAAAATATACATGTCCGGAAAATTCGGATACAGTTCAACTGAAATCAAGGATCAACAAGGATTTCCACAAGCATGTACAGGCAAAACTAGTTTCTAAGCTACTTGTATGAGTGAATGTTTTGTCATTCTAAAGCGAAACATGCCTCATCTTGTGTTTTATAGCTGGTTATATCACCAAACATGTTTGTCAAGAATTAATGAAATATACCTAAATGCCAAAGTGTCAGTCAAAGGTAAGTATACATAACATTAACTTGTAGGACTCTACAATACCCCCTTGTTCCTATGGCTAAACTCCTGTTGCCATACCAATAAATTAACTTAAAAAGCTTAACTACCGACATGAGCAACCCAGTGGCAGCGGATAGTGAGGGTATAATCGCCTTCAGTCCCGATGAAGGGCACGAGGTAAAGGAATACCAGGAAGTAAGGAAACCTGAGGAAAGGTCAGAGCTCATGTCAGTAATAAGTAATAGATCTTATTCATCTGACACACAAAGCAATGGTAGCGAAAAAGCTATTTGCAAAATGACAGAGATTGTGAGTGGGTTGTCTGTTATTTTAAAAATGTGGTGAAGGAGCTTCAAAAGCTCAAGCAGCCGGAGCAGGCTTCAAGAATCGTAGAAACAACAATGGATGAAATCAATACTCAGAGTTATAGAAACAGACAGTTGTCACCTGATGCAGAGCCCTTCAGGCCCAGACCATATGAGACTAAACAATGCTGTGGAGACAACGCCCAGCCAAACCAGCAAAACTTGTGAGGTCATAGGTCATATTCAAATTCTGCTCAAGTACCAGCTCGATCAGCTATGCAGTCATATATTAGAGTTGGCAATCACACCACAGGAACTTGAAATTCTATCAAATAACCAATATTAATGATAATATCCAAATATACCCCCTATATACTATTATACTGTATAGGGGGTATATTTTGGATATTATCATTAATATTGATAGAATTTCAAGTTCCTGTGATCACACAGACAAAACAAACAAAGGTACAGAGATGGCCCCTATCACTATAGTAGCCAGTATTTGTATGACCCCCATAAAGTCTACATGTGCAATAGATGTTACTAAGATAAGCCAGATTTTAAGTACAACAGAGGTCATATTTACAGTGACCTACCACCTGTCCATACATTCAGAACCCCCAGAGATGCCAGTCATGTGAAAATTCCATCTTTTACTGGGAAAGAAAATTGGGCAGTTTGGATAACTTGCTTCGAGACAATTGCTGAGAGAATGAGATGGGATGAGAGCGATATGCTTGACCAGATTCTGCCAAGAATAGAAGGTCAAGCTGCATAGTTTGTTTTTTCACAATAACCCCCAGCATCATTCCGAAACTACAACATGCTGAAAACCGAGATGAACAACCGATACAGGGTCAAAAAATCTCCTAAACTGTATGCCTCACGGCTCAGAAGGAGATCTCAAAAGATAGGCCAAACAGCAGAGGAGTATGCAGCAGAGTTGAAAGTGCTGTATGATAAGGCACATGGTTTCCGAGACCGAAAGACAAGGGATGAAGACTTGGTCAGGCGTTTCTCAGATGGCTTAAGAGATGACAACATTCGGATCGAGGTCGAGTGTAACAAGGAACCTGAAACCATAGACGATGCAGTGTTCCAGTTAGTGAACTATATTCACACACGAAATATCAGGGAACAGAGGTCTAAAGAAAGCATCAGATGGACAGGTGAAACAAGGTCAGAAACAGATAAAGAGGAGTCAGTAGAAGACATAAACGAGGTATATTGTGATCAAACTAAGCCTCTGTTTAAGCTCTCAAATAACCTATGAGACCCGGATGTGACAGAAAATACAACAAATGATGAGAATCAGCAGACAATCTTGGAATCTATTCTAGACATTTTGAAAAAGCTTGAGAGCAATCCACGCAGACAAGGCAGAGGTGAAAAAGAATGCTTTAATTGTCGCAAACTCGGACATTTCGCTCGCAATTGTCCAGAGAGGACTAACCGTCAAATAGATGACAATGATAGACACTAAACAATGTAGAGGATCAGTACTCGTCGATGAGAGACAACCTTTAAACTACAAAGGACCTGCTCTTGTGGCCAAAGGGGCGTAGAGGATAAGACAACAATGAAGCAGTGTAGGGGAATCAGTACTGGTGTGTACATCAAAGGTTCAGTAGAAGGTGTACCAGTACTATTGCGGACACAGGGGCTTTGAGAACTGTCATCTCTACTAAGGTCTTAAACAAGATAGCTGAACAGCCAAAATTAGAGAGTTCCTCATGCTTGAAAGGGGCTAGTGGGTTGCCAATACAGGAGTGCCGGAAGGGATGTTTTCTTGCGCGTCTCGGGACACATTTAAGGTTCATAGTCTAGACCAATGACTTGCATGCAATAATAAAAATAATTTCCTCACTCTGTTTTTCAAGAATAATTATTCTTATTGTGAAAAATGACCAAACATTAAAAAGTGTTGCAACATTTTCCAATAAAGTCGGGTTAAGAATAGCGCAAAATACGACTTTCAATTTGAGCATATTTGTCAATTATCTTTCTGTTTGAAATGCCACAGTTAATGTATTTAAGAAGTTCATTTTTTTTGTTTTAAGACTTTGAACATCAGTGGATCCTTTTGTTTGTTTTGCAATTAAGATTAAAAGTTATTTATGGGTGAATACATCTGGTTTTACTCAGAAAGACCGGATTTCTGTCAGTTACAATGAAGACTTTAGGAGCAACAAAGTATGGCATGCCAATTATAATACCTCACGATGTTACAAATTTGAATAAACCAATCTTCAATACAAAAATGAACTAAGTGTTACTATAAAAAATAATTACCTGTGTGAAGATCTGTTCACATCGTTCCTCCACAATTTTGAATTTGATATATTGTATGAAGTTGTCATGTGATTGTTCTTCGAAGTACTTGTAAACAAGGAACTTTTTCTCTTCATTAGAAAGACTACTTTTGTCAAGTCGAACTAAAGATTCAGGCGTAGCACACCACAACAACACTAACTTGGCGTATTGAAGGACCTGCAAATATAAACTTATTGAAACCTCTCCATTCATAATGTATCAAACTGGCTTTTTTCATGATTTACTTTTAACTGACTAAAACTGTCATTAAAAATTCCGTTATTAATTATAGTTAAAACTGATTGAAACAACCTGCGGAATAAGTTTGCAAATCTGGAATAAATATTTAATACAAAAAGTTAAATCTTACAGTAATCTGGATGGAAATAGACGGTAATTGGCCGTTTATACATAGATAGCACAAAAATTAAGCACTGGGCAAGCATGCGAAGTGTGGCATTCCATAGGATTTTTCCATTCTCCCATTAGGTTTGACGTGTCCCATGGGACCTCCAGTCGGATTAAAACCCTTATTTTCATGAAATGGGATTAAAAATCGGTATGAGGAAAAACAATCTAAATATTTTCACAGGTTTAGATTATTATTTACTTGTGAACTTGTAAGTGTTAAGGGAACATATTAAAAGAAATTTGCAATCCTCCCATTGGCGGAATTAACCCATCAAGGAAATTGAAGAAAATCACCCATTAACAGCTTAACTGCAAAAATACCCCATTACGGTGTAATAGGAAAATTCAATCCTATCCTTTTTGTTTAACAAATCTGACAGGAAGTTTAAAATTCAAAACTTTTATATAACTTAATATTCATATTAAGTAATTAATTAATTTATTTATTTATTCATTGTGTTCCTGTGATACATTCTTGTTTAATTTAACTGCACACACAGGTTAACATTCACAGAAGAAATCACACGAGCATCTCCATTGTTGCACATTTTTAATATGCGTGATAAATTTAGATTTTTTAAAATATAAATGTTACACCGAATGAAAAAACAACAATAAAAAATCTGTATAAGAATTACTGTATAATACATTTACGGTTTTGTTCGATAAATCCAACAAAACTTCTACACAAAAGCACATTTCATGAGATTGAAAAAATCATGTTACATCCAATCTATGACAAAAATGCTTTTGGTCCCTGATTTAATTAAAATATAAATTTTTTGTCATTTTTTTTGGTCGACCCAACAAAACAAAAATGTTAAGAAAACCTGTTCAAGAGTTCCTGTATAAAATAAATAGTAAAAAATATATTAACATTTGATTATCTGAGCAAACACAAAAAAAAATCATAGAAATCCTGCGTTGACCGAACAAAAAAATTACAATAAAAATCCTGTAAAAGTGTTCCTATATGAGACATTTTTGTCAGTCAATTGAAAAAAAATTGCTTAACAAAAGCACATTTCATAATATCTAAAAGAAAATGTTACATCCAATGAAAATATAAAAATTAACCTTATATTCATTTGACAGAACAAAAAAAATAAAAACCCTAAAATTTCTATGTAGGATAGTTGTTCGGTGAAACAAACAAAAAATAGGATGGAAAATCCTGTTCGAAAGTACCTGTATAAGATATTTGTTTCCACCAAAAAAAGTATGTTAAAACGCCTGTATAAGAGTTCCTGTATAAGACATTTTTGTCGGTTGATCGAATCAAAATTGCTGTATAGAAGCATCTTTCAAAAGATCAAAAAGACATATAAAATCCAATGAAAATATAAAATTAACAATTTTTTCTTTTTTTCTGAACCAAAAAAAGATATTTGATATTTGTTCGGTCGACAAAACAAAAAAAAAATACTATAAAAAATCTGTTCAAGAATGTAAGGTTTTTGTCTGTTGACAGAACAAAAACTGACTCAACAAAAAAAAATTGTTTGGTAGACCAAACAAAAAATACGATTAAAAATTCTGTTCAAGAATTGCTGTGTAAGATATTTCTTCGATGGAGCGAACAAAAAAAAATTGTGATAAAATATCCTGTCAAAGAATTCCTGTGTAAGATATTTGTTCAGTTGACTGAACAAAATATTTCGGATGAAAAATCCTGTTCAAAAATTGCTATGTAAGATATTTTTGTTTGGTCGACCAAACAAAAAAATACGATAAAAAATTATGTTCAAGAATTCCTGCGCAAGAAATTTGCGGGTTGACCGATCAAAACAATTACGATAAAAAATTTTTATGAGAGTTCTTGTATAAGACATTTTTGTCAGTCAATCAAAACAAAATTGCTTTATAAAATCTCATTTTATTCGATCAAAAAGACATATATTACATCTAATATTTGTCTGGTCAAAAGAACAAATAAATTATGATAAAAAATTCAATAATTTCTGTTTAAGTTGGGGACTGACCGAACAAAATATTTAAGATGAAAAATCCTGTTCAAAGATTGCTTTGTCAGATATTTGTTTGGTTGCCAAACAAAATTAATTACAATAAAAAAATCCTGTATAAGAATACATGCATAAGACATTTTTGTCGGCCGATCAAATTTAAAATGGCTTTACAAAAGCACATTTCATAAGATCGGAAAGAAATATTATATCAAATTAAAATATAAAATTTGACATTTTATTATTCTAACAGAACAACAACAAAAAATGATAATAATCATGTTCAAGAATTCCTGTGTAAGATATTTATTCAGGCAACCGAAACCATAACATTAGGACGAAAATGTCTGTACGACAATTACTGTAAAAGATATAACAAAAAAATTGGGATCGTAAATCCTGTTCTAAAATTCCTGTGTAAGATATTTGTTTGGTCGCCAAACAAAAATAAATATGATAATAATCCTGTATAAGAGTTCCTGTACATGACATTTTTGTCAGTCGATAAAAACAAAATTGCTATATAAAAGGACATTTATAATACTAAAAAGACAGTTTACATCAAATGGAAGTATAAAAATTGACATTTTATTCTTTGGATTGAAAAAAATAATGATACAAATCCTGTTCAAGAATTTCTGTGTCAGATATTTGTTCGGTCAACTGAACAAAAAAAGAAAAGAAATGTTGAATGACACATAAGCCCCCTTCCTAGCCCTTGACTCACATTAATGGTAATTTTGTTATAGAAACTTGCCATAAATGGGTACATGGAAGTGTTCAGTTATGGAAAAAAAACAATAATGACCTACTAGTTATAACCAATCAATATGTGACATATAAAGAGCTCGACCTTTGAACTAGTGACCCCATTATGACTAATATATATGTTAAATATGAAGACTTTGTAATTAAAAAGTTGTCAAGGTAATATTTACATTTAAGGCCCCTGTGACCTTGACCTTAGGGGTCATCTACTTTATATGGCTATTCAATATGAGATATATGAAGATTTTGTGATAAATAGTTTTCATGATAATGAGCAGAAACCATTCTGACATTTAAGGTACTATGACCGTGAATTTTAACCTAGTTACCCCAAAATCAATAGGGGTCATCTAATAGTTATGACCAATATATGTGATATATGAAGACTTTGTGATAAATAGTTTTCAAGATATTTAGTTGAACTTATTTTGACATTTAATGCCCCTGTGACCTTGACCTTTGAACTAATGACCCAAAATCAATAGGGATTATCTACTAGTTATTAAATATCACTGTGTGAAATATGAAAACTTTGTGATAACTAGCTTTCAAGATAATAAGCCAAAACCATAATACCTTTCAAGGTCCCTGTGACCTTGACCTTTGGCCTAGGGACCCCAGAATCAGAATCATCTACTAGTTATGACCAATAAATATGTGAAATACTTTCTGATAAATAGTAATCAATATAATAAGCGGAAATCATTCTAATATTTAAGGCCCCTGTGACCTTGACCTTAGACCTAGTGACCCCAAAATCAGTAGGATCCATCTAATAGTTATGATTAATCAATATCTGAAACATGAAGACTTTGTGATAAATAGTAATCAAGATAATGAGCAGAAACCTTTGTAACATTTAAGCATCCGGTGACCTAGACCTTTGACCTAGTGAACCCAAAATCAAAAGGGATCACCTACTAGTTATGTCCAATCAGTATGAGAAATATAAAGACATTGTGATAAGATAATCAGCAGAAATAATGTGGTCTACCGACGGACAGACCGACCTACCGACATTAGCAAAACAATATACCCCCTCTTCTTTGAAGGGGGGGGGGGCATAATTATGATAAAATGTTCTGTTCAAGAATTCTTGCGTAAGATATTTGTCGGTTGACTGGACTAAAAATTTGCGATAAAATATCCTGTTAAAAAATTCATGTGTAAGATATTTGTGCAGCCACATTACGTTTATAAAAAGTTCCTGTACAAGATATCCTTATCGGTCGATTAAAACAAAATTTCTTTATAAAAGCCAGTTCATCAGATAAGAAAGACATGTTACATTCAAAGAAAATATAAAAATTGACATTTTATTCTTTGACTGAACAAAAAAAATCCTGTTCAAGAATTCCTGTGTATTTGTCCAATGTATAAAAATTGTTTTTATATAATATAGTTTTGTTGGTCAATCGAAACAAAAATTGCTGTACAAAAGCACCTTTCATTAGATCAAAAAGACATGTTACATCCAATGAAAATATCAAAATTGACATTTTATTCTTTCGACCGAAGAAAAAAAATCATAAAAATCCTGTTCAGGAATTCTTGTGTAATATATTTGTTTGTTCGGTCCACCAAACAAATGTGCTACACAGGAATTCTTGAACAAGATTTTTATGATTTTTTTCCTGTTCAGAAAAAAGGAATAAAATGTTAACTTTATATTTTCATTGGATGTTATATGTCATATATCTTACACAGGAATTAATTCTTGAACAGAATATTTCATCGTATTTTTTTTTGTTCAGTCGACCAAAAAATTATCTTACACAGGAATTTTTGGACAGGATTTTTATGATTTTTTTTTCGTTCGGTCAAAATAATAAAATGCCAATATTTGCATTTTTTTAAAATTTTCCATTCTAAAGCAATTTTGTTTTGATTAACTGACAAAAATGTCTTATAATGTATTTTTTTATTGTAATTTTTTTAGTTCGGGCAACCAAACAAATATCGAATACAGGAATTCTTGGACAGGATTTCTTAACATTTTTTACTGTTCTGTTGACCAAACAAATCAGTTTTTGTCGTAGATTGAATATAACATGATTTTCAATGTCATGAAATGTGCTTTTGTATATAACTTTTCAACAAAATCGAACAAAACATATTTTACAGTAATTCTTATTCAGAAGTTATATTCTAAAAAATGTCAATTTACACAGTTTCCTTTGATCAAACAAAACGTATTATACAGTAATTCCTATACAGAAATTTATTGTTGTTTTTTATTGGTTCAGTTTAGCAATTATATTTAAAAAAAAGTAAATTAACATAGTTTCCTTCGTCATTCATATTAAAAATGTGCAACAATGGTAGTGCTCGTGTGATTTTCTTTGTGAATGTCAACATGTGTGTGCAGTTAAACTAAACAAGGTTATATCACAGTAATGAAATAAATAATCGTGCTTTTTCATATAAAAAGTCCGAAACAGAATATTAACTTATATAAAAGTTTTAAATTTTAAACTTCCTGTCACGATTTGTTAAACAAAATAGATATGAATGAATTCTCCCATTTTGTTATCCTCCCATTATGCTGTAATGGGGTATTTTTCCACTTATGCTGTAATGGGGGATTTCTCCCATTTCCTTAATGGCTAAGTTCGGCCAATGGGAGGATTGTAAATTTCTTTAAATATTTTCCTTAAATACTTATAAGTTCATAAGAAGTACATAATAATCAATACATGTAAAAATATTTTAAAAAATTAAAACATTTTTCTCCCACGTATTTTTAATCCCATTTTATGAAAATGGGGTTTTCAATCCATGTGGAGCTCCCATAGGACCCATAAAATCCAATGGCAGAATGGAAATATCCCATAGGATGCCACACTTTGAATGATTGCCCAGCACTTAACTTTTGTGCTTTCTTTGTATAAAAGGCTAATAATTGACTATTTCCATCCAAATTACTGTTTGATTTAACTTTTTGAATTGAATTTTCATTAAAGAGGGTAGTTTACTTTGCAAAATTCGGGATTTGCAAACTTATTCCGGAGGCTGTTTAGAGACCCCCAAAATCAATGTACCTGTTCATCCCTGTTTATGTCATCTTGTAAATTTCCAGGCTTTTCCCAAACATCTAACACAATAGCAGAGCAGGTGTCATCATGGTAACCAATAAACACATCTCCAACTTCTGTCTCTGATTTCTCTTTCCTGCAATATTCAGTAAATTATTATTTAAAAGGTGAGGAACACACATACAACACCAGGTTGAGTTTAAAGATTTTTATCTGCTACTAATTTTGAGTAATATAATACTCTTCAGCCGGCATTTCAATAAATAGTAAAAGTTTTGACCAAGAGGAGACTTCCGAGAAATAATTCAAAAGAATCTAAGAAATAATAAAAATGAATTTTAAAAGACAATTAGAAAACATAAAGTAACTCTGAACGATGCACTTAAAGATGCAAACCACCAGACGAGCCAAAATATTTTAGGGAAACCAAACTCAAGAAAAAATGTATTAAGATTTTTAGTAAAGTCAAAATATTTTAAGATTCAAGTTAGTATTTACATGTTATGTGCGATTGGTGACTGATCTTTAACACCATAGTTCTACTGCGTGACCTTTCTGTGGTGCTGTTTGCAATGTGTAAAATACCTTCTTTCACTGCACAATGTTTTACTTTTAATTACATTTTCAAAACTTTTATTAGATTTAGAACAAATCTGTAGGCATGTGGCTTTCAAATCAAAGCTTGAATAAGTAAAAAAAAATAGCAAAACTTTAATTTAGGGAAAAGATAATGGCATTAATTGTAGCAAAGAGAAAATGAGAGAAATTGTAAGAAAGGAATACATGTTGAAAAATTTATTTAAATGTTCGATATACGGGTATTATAAATGAACGTTTAGATAAGAATAAAATATTTTTGCAGAAAGGGGTGTATTTGTTTGATATTAAGAAAATGTTTGGTAAAAGGGAGCAAAAATTTCGATATTTGACTGAAAGGAGGTAATGCCTTGGTAGCAGTGAGTTACAAGGTATAATTTGGTTAAAGTAAGTAAACAGTTTTGCAAAATCATGTTTACTGCATGGTAGATTTATGCAAAAACTGAGCAATTTGCTTTCTCAAGATTATGCTTTTGTTCATTGTAAATAACAAACTGTAACTGAAAATTAAGTTTTTTTGTATTATTTCTTTGCTTCGTTCTATGACAAATTAAGCTTTTATTGTCATACAAATCAGTTAAGGTTAATATATAAGAAAACATGCCTTTGATGTAAGTCTGTAGTTTTTCTTTGCTTTACAAACTCCTTGGCCCAGTTTTCCAACTTCTGTTTACATCGCTGTTGTTCTAATGACAACATTGTGTTGATGGTGAGAAAATGTTTCTCTAGACGGTTGATAAGAGGTATAGGAAACTTCTTATATACTGTCTGTTTCTCTGCAACTACTATCAGTCTGAAATACAAAGCATTATACATTTTTATAGATGTACATGTAGTTCGAATGAGGAACGACAGAAAGAAATACATGCAAAAGTATTACATGTGACTATAATTTCAAAATACTTTTTAGAGTAACATCTCCCCGATTCATTTATTTCAAATCTTCATACTGATTAGCCAGAAAAGATTTTTCAGTCAACAGCAGTCATATGCTTTATGAAGTTGAGAGTCTTGCCAGCTTCATGCTATATCAATCTCATGTTTAGTTTAAATAATGTGTACAATAATTAAATTCTAGATTCAAATGTTACAATAAACATGCATTTTTAATTAAAATAAATGAAACTATTTGGTATGAATATTATGACCACATGAGATGATTTAAAGAACTTAATATATTTGAAAAAAAATGACCATGGCATATACAAGTACCTGAAGTCTTTGTGTACTGGACACTTGACTCTATGTGTTCCAAGTCCAAGATCAACATATCTTTCTCCACCAAAATATACATAATATTGATTGAGGGCATCATATAAACTCTCATAGAGATTTTCCAAGTTCAGTAAAACCACAGTATTTCCTGTCTCCATACACACTTTGATCTTGTTGATGTTTCGACATACCTATAGAAAAACGAAACAAAACTTTTAAATCTACATTTAGTTAATGATCTGAAGAGTTACAAACACATTTTCACTTACCATCCAATTAAAAGCTTAATATATTAGAATTATTCGAAATATAGTGCAATCATATTCAATAAAAACATAATTAAGTACAAAATATTTTATAATTTGTTGAATAATTTCAGAAAAAAAGCGTAAGAAAGCAGCATTCTGTTTAATTTGAAAGTTTTGTCCAATTAATTTATTTTTAGCAAGCAATATTCTAATACAACAAATATGCAAATGTCTTATGCACGAAACCTTGACTGAAATCCCTTGCAATCAATTTGACTTAAAATTATAACAGGGATAGAAAACAACAGTAAGCTTTGAAACAATAGCCTGACCTGTGTATACTCCTGGTCACTTCTAAAGCTACTACCAAATATGGTAATAGGTCTGATATCACCTCTCCTAGACAGAATCTGTTGTTGTATGATTGTTAATGTACCATAATTCTCTGTTAACAGTAGCAGGTATCTACTCTCACTTTTTTAAATAAAAACAACTCAACAAATTTATATTTATCCATGAGTGACTTTAAAAATATTATACATTTATATTATCTTCAAGCTAAAAGCCTAAAACTAGGAAAATCTGGGAGATAAGTAAAAATTAAAATTAAATATCTTCAAATTGATAATTAAGCTTTTTGTCTCAAAGAATAAGGTATGAGATTAAAGAAATCATAAGCAGTAAATGCACAAGACAGGATCAAAACTTCATGGGTATCTTGTAATTTGTATAGCTCAATTTGTGTTTAGGTGAGATTTGCTTGGGATTTGCTTAAGATTAGCTAAGCTGAAGTAATAATGAAATAAAATTTAACATTGGCAAAGCTGGTTCCTACTCTTAAAATCACTCCTTATGTATTGATGATACAATATTTATACACAATAATCAGAGATCTAGTCTGCATAACGGCAATAAAGCTTAATAAGTTACTTAACAATGTCCTATTGAACACTCCATCAGTCGTCTTCATTACAGCATATACTGACTGAATAAAAATACATTTCTATTTTGAACAGTTAAAACAAACACATACCTTTGTGTATTTTTTGAGTCAAACAGACATGCCTGTACTAGACCAGCAGGACTGCAGTCTGGATCTGTTCTTTTGGGCTAAAATAATTAAAAATGTATTTAATTTATAATCACCCTGCATTATGCTTTATTAAATGCTACTTTGCAGAAATCATTAGATAATATATCATGTTGACGAATTATAAGGTATTATTTGACAAGCTCACTTCGCAACCTTCTTAAAATGCCCAAATTCTTGTAGGTAGTTCGTTAGTATCTTTATGATATTGAAATGATCACCTTCAAATCATAGAAAACGCTTTCATCGCCTGTTACTGATATTGCATGAAGTCTCTCTCTTTAATCAACTGATTAAGTCTATAAATCCAAGCTTGTCAAAAATAAACTGTCATTGACTGAATCTGTTAGGAACAAATTGTAGATCTCATGAGATATTCTTACCAAAGGAAAGAACATACAATCTCAGCAAGTTTCATTTTAACTTGCGCCTAAACTTATATATTGTTTGTTTACCATCTCGATACCTTCCCACAAAAAAACTGCTGCTCAAAACTAATTATTGCCAAATGACTGTTGTTTTACTAAACACGAGAGAAGAATCCGTCAAAGAGAATCACAAATTTATATAGGACTCATATTATTGAGTTGTTAATATATAAACCGAGAGATAGTTGAATTTACTTTGAAACTTTTGTTCTAATTTTTAAATAGATGCTTGTACAGTATTCATAAATAATTTACTTATACATATCTATTCATTATCACTAAACATGTTACATTTTATGTTCAAGCATTTGAACTTATAACAGAATCACAAACAGGACTTAGATCTGGATACTCAACAAATGGATATACCTTCATTTTATCCTAAATTATAAATAAGTATTTGAATCATACTATAATCTACGTGGATTGCTTTAATTGACTTCCAACAAAAATTTTATTATGTTAACCATGATATATTGTATTCTATTTTTGTCAACATAATATCAACGGTAATCACTATCGATCAATTATTTCAGTGTATCGTTCTGCAAAGGCTTGAAACCGGTTTAAACTCCCCAGTGGTTTAACGACCACTGACCGTCCCAAGGCGGTAACCCTCTGTGTTCCTTCACGTGTTTTTTCATGTCTGTATTGTTGCTTGTTTTGGATGTTTACATGTTTTGTGATGTCTGTCTTGTTGGATTGTCGTTGATGGTAGGTATTTTCTCAATTTCCCCCCTCTCCCATTTGTTACCCCCCCCCCACCCACCTTTTAACCCTTACAGCCCTTATCCCTTTAATTCCCTAATGGGCCCGTTTTAGTTTATATTATTTCACATTACATGTCCCACTCCTTTCACCCTTTTGTCCACTCCAGGTTTTTGTTTGGTGCCTTCTGGGTGCCCTACTTGAGTGTGTCGTGGGGCAGCGTCCTGTGAACGTTGCATTTGCCTTGTTGATCTTTATTCTTGTTCTTTTGAGTTAACACTAATATTTCAGATGCCCTTGAGGCCTAACACAATGTTGTGCCTTGAGCTTCGTCCTTTTCTGTCTATTTATAGATGAACTTAATATATTTTTAGTTGTCATAATGTTCTGACATAACTGAAATAGTTATGATTTTTTTTTGCAGACTATGTAGCTTTGATATCAGACACTTCTTCAAAAACAATTTCATTTGCTTTATGAATTTTGTACTGATTTTAAGATACAAATATATATGTTAATGTTGAGAAACTAAAATAACTGTTTTCAAAAGAGGAGGTAGAATAGATGCTAGAGAATATATGGTTTTCATGTGTTGGTTTGTATTTTACTGATCGCTTATGTCTATATAAAATGACAGAGGACAAGGCCAATAAAGCTATACAAGTATTTTTCATATTGTCATCTCTTTAAATTATTTATGATGCATACACTATCAAACATTTTTCAAAATATCTGATGTTGTATTATTGTATGGCTGCGAGGTATGGGAACAGGTAACATGTCATATGCATCAATATGATTGTAAACGTTTTATTTATGTATTGTCAAATATTGGATGCGTATTATTAATATGCATTCTTCAGAAGAATGTTATTTTTTTTTAAAATACTGGTAATTACTCATTAAATTGGTTAACTGAAATAAAAATGATGTGGATATATTTGGGAAATGCAATCTGTGGACCATCCAATTTTATTTTTATCATATTTGTCAATAGATTAAAAGACCAATGTATATAAAATTGGATGTCAAAATAATCATTAAATGTGAAATTGATGGATTATATTCAAAATGTTAATTCACCTGCAAAATACGATTATTGTATTAATATTATAATTTTTTAGAAGTGTCTTAGCAAATTTTCGGTCTTCATCACATTGTTTATCGAGAGAAACTGCGTTATATAGTTGTATTGAGCATGATTATAGATATTGTCCATTTTGTGAATGTGTACAAGCAAATGAAAACCATTTGGTACTCATTTGCCCACTCTACTCTAATATAACACACACATATATTTCTGGAAAAATCCTTCATATATAAAATAGTTTAATCTGGTATCATCTGAACATATTGATACTATTAAAAAATTTGCAACTTTTCTATATATAGCGCATAGAGAACGAGATCAATTTTGTCTATGTTTAGATAATTAGTACCTATACTATTGCTATTATAAATGCTGTCATTTTGCTATATATATTTTTCATGTCTTAAACATGTCTGATTTTAGCATCAATACATGTTTATTTGTATTATAAATCTTCATGTGTGTACGGACCGGTGGCCTAATGTAACTCAATAAAGTTTTGTCATTGTCATAATTTTTGAAATCCTCGTAGTTCACATATTAATGATATATGTAGTAAATTATATAAATTTGACTTATTTAGGTACCTGAAATGGGATGTTTCAAAGGAAGGGAAATATAATTATTTATTACTGACCTTGGAAATATGTCTTGACCATTTGAACAAATTTTTTCGGTTTTTACCTGGTGATATTTTTGGCCCCAAATGACAAAGAAATCATCAAGAATAAATTCCATAGAGACTTAAAACATTTTTGTTTACTTTACAGTGATAATATGCTTTACTTTTAAATATCCTGGTGATCTATTTTCATGGAAAATGTATCATATGATAGACAGTTTACTGTTTTCGGTCTATGGATGGACATGGGCAAATATGTATGTTGCTCCCCATAAGAAAGGATATGCAAGTAGCATCCTTACCCTTTCATCAAAATGAACAACCTTGGAAAGATTCTCCTTAAAACTCTTCACAGGATTAACTTCGTCCAGACCGCCAAAGTTTCTCAAAATTGCATGTAACATTTCATACCATGTTGGCCTTTGTTTGGACTGCTCCACAAACCAATACACCATTTTCACTAAACTGAAACATCAATAACATCTGTAGCACTCATTTCTTTTCCAAACAATTTACCTAAAGTACCAAAACATACTTTCTCAATCATCATGCTGACAAAGTAGTACGAGCCTTGACAAATATGAATAAAAAGCAAGACAATACTATTATTCTCATAAAGAAGTGTAAATGTTAGTTTTAACAATATTTATTTCAGTTTGTGCAACATAAATATATACAGTAAGCATATACAAACACATTGATGTATTTCGTGGATTGGAAGAGTAAATGTTGGTTAATGGTATTTTAAATTGCTTACAATTAAATTATGGCGTAACAATTACCTGTAAAAGTCTCTTAATCCATAAAATTCCCTCATGTTCTTTGAGGCTCTCTCAAAAATATCCAGATAGGAAATTGCCATTGGCTCTATAAGCGGTTTAATCCAGCTGCCAAGTTCATCTTCTGTCTGACATATACCACTGTTGAAAATTGTAACGTTAATTTTTGTCTTATTACAAAAAGAAATTACTAAAAGACATATCTATGCTGTATTATCTGATTTTATAGTTATTACTCAGAGAGATACATGGTGTATAGGAAATATTTTATATAATGTTGACAACAAGAGCTGCCAGTCTGACAAAGAGCTCACAACCCCAATTGTGTTTGGAAGATAATACATAATGTAATGATAATATCTGACGTTTACACTACCTATATTTTTAAAAAAAATGTTAACAAAACTCTCAAGTAATTAAAAAGATCACGATACGACAAATGTAGTTGTACTTGAAAACCATGATAATACTAAATATATTTACAAAAATAAATTCTTAAAACAACTGCATCATACTTTGCACTATTTTTCAGTTCTTCAAGATCTGGAACTTCCCTCTGTACCAGAATTCCTCTGTTCATTTTGGCAGGATCCAATGCCCAGTTTGATATACCGATAAATGCAACCTACAAATAGAACAGTCAATTTTACCAGTATCTACTTAGACTTTGATTCACTTATTAAATTTTGGGAAAAAACAATAGGTCTGCAAAACAAAGGATAAGCCTCATCAAAGGTGCATTAGTGACAGTGTCCAGGACTATTTGTAATGTATTCCACAAATCTCATGACAGTCAGTTTTGAAGATAAGATAAAAATAGTACAAAGTGAAGCAAAAATCAATAGGGTCAACTGCCTATAAGTTGATAAATGTTATACTGTCAAATGGATTGTATTTATAAAGCTATGTGATGTTCTAGTTAACAATTTCAAATGAAAAACCTTTACACAAACTGTCAGCTTCATAAAAACTTGAAATTTAAGCATGCCCATCTTAATCAATAAATTGTAATACAACAATGATCCCTCACAAACCTTCATGTGTTTTTCTGGCTCTTCATCACCTTGACAACCATCCTCCAATAATGGATGAAGTGTCTGTGTAGAAACAGAGTTATAATGGTAAAGAAGCTTTGTAAGAAATCTAAATCAATAATACTGACCAACAATTTAATTTACATTTAACTATAACTTGTCTCTTAAATTATACAAAGTAAAACTGCCTGTTTGGGAGTCTTACAAGAATGCTTCCATGACAGCATTTCTGTGATAAAGTAATCCGTCACATGAGATCATTTCAATTGAAGGAGAGAAAATAATTTTAAAATTGCTTTTAAATTATTAAAAAGAAAAAATGTAATGTTTTACATTTCCACGCATATTTCAGAACAAAATCCAATAGGAGTTCCCCCATTAAATTGTTATTGTTATGACAGGTAGGTTTTCTCCATTGGGGAATTGTTTCATATTTATTTGTTATAATGGTAGCGAAATTTCAGACCCTGATGTTCTTATTTGCAAATGCCGAAAGTAGTCCAAACTCCTCGAAGGGGTTACTTCCCTTCATATGTACATAAACGCCGAAAAATTAAGAGGAGATCACTGCGTACAAAATTGTCAAATGACAGGTGCATTAATTTTCGTAACGAAAAAATAGTTCCCGATTGGTCGAAGATTTCTAATATTGTGTTATTCTTATGGATATACATGCTTACATTCTTATATTCCATGATTATTTACTTCAGTGGTAAACAACAGGTTAACCGTGAACAAAATATATCGAAATTAATAAGGGTTACTCTAATTAAGAATAATGTGGTATTTTTCAGGCTATTATCTTATAACTCCCTGTGGTCGAGGGGTTTACACGCTCGCTTTAGAAGTGAGAAGTCCGAAGTTCAAATCCCAGTCCAGGCAACTCATGTTCTTTTTGTTTATTTATTTTATTTAATTGATTAAGCCAAATAAACATTGAATTAAATATCAGTGTTGCAATTAGTCTTATAGCCAATTTACTATTGTTATAACACTGGAAACAGAATTTGGTGACACTTTACAAACAAATTGGTTTATAATCTCACAACCTTCACCTTTCTGACATTCTGAGACCCAAACAAATTCAGTGCATTCTGTGCTTTGATTGAATTCAAGTATTATTTACCATTCGGATGAAACATTTTTAATTTGATATTTTTTATATTATTTTAAGAAGAATGTTTTTCCTACAGGAATAATGTTCTGTTGTAAACAAACCTGAATCAGCACAGTGAAACTTAAGAAATGCCAAATGTTAACACAATATATGTTTATAAATAATAAAATTGTCATTCATGCTTTATATCAGAAATAAACATAAGCCTTGAAAGAATTCAGAGTTTTACAAAACATTATTTCAATAAAGTTACCTTAAGTGGCATTCTTGGACTGTCTTCAGCCAATCCTACTTCATCAAGGACAACAATAGAGACAAATGTATCCAAATCTTTGTCTTTCTGGAACTGTGCACATTGTCGAAATGTTGCAACTATAGTATCTGGTGTAGCCAAGGGGCTACACTGGAATGAAACCATCTGAGCCTAAAATAAATACACAAAATAAGTTTTGTCATGATTAAATAAAAATGAGAAAATCTTACTAAAATTAATATGCATGTTTATTTCAACGTGATGATAAAATGATAGTCTTGTTTCTAGAATGAAATAAAGAATTAAATGCGTAACAAAATAAATCCTTACTTGCTTAAACTCCTTGAAAAGTTTCTCTTTGGCATTATTTCCCTGCATAGCATCAGAAACAATGGTTTTGGCGAGGGATTTGGAACTTCCAGGCTTACCAACAAGGAACAATGGGATCCGTAGTTCTATACATACAATCATCATGAAAACATTCTCTCTCAGTGCCATGTTACGAGCTATATTCTTCTCAAGATGAACGTGATCTAGGAAAACTTCTTGACAGCTTATCAGTGGATAAAGCAAAAGAAAGAAAAGAAAAATGAAAACATATGCAATGTTGTGAAACTGATGTTATCACTTAAGAAACTAAGGTTTTTAAGAAAATGTGAAAAATGTGTGTTAATTTGTTGACATCATAGCTCAACTTGTGAAAAACCCTTTTCATCGCATCTGGTAACTATTTCTGATACAAACTTGTAGCTGAATAGCACGGCAGTAGTACTGCTTACGAAAATTAAGGTCAGACATTTATAATGTGATAAAATCAAATAAGATTTCAAGACAACATTGCAAGTTTCATAAAATAAATGATAACCATGACGTTTGGCGGGGAAATAATTCACTTAAAGTCCAACCGAGAGTTAAGAGTCTAGGTAATGACCTGAAATTATGATCTAAGACATGTGAGAGATTTTAGGTCAATAAATTCAGTAGTTGTTGGGATGCAGCCCCAAGTCATTCAAGAGCAATATTATAGATCTTAAATGTGGTTCACAACAATAATCAAAAGGATAGCAGTTAAGTACCGAGTTGACACACTTTGTGCCTCATAAAATAGATGCATGCAAAAAATTAATTAAGTAGTATACGCAATGGCAAGCCATATGATAGCTCCATTTTAATACAAAAAAGCTTTATAGGAGTTCCTCTACACAGATTCATCTTTGACAAAAACCCTTGGAAACACAAGTTGTGATTATTTCTCAATTAATAGCATTTAAAAGATATAATTCTGCTTTTATCAGTAGAACAATGGTAGCTGAATTACAGATCGTTCACTTTCCTTATTGTAACTTTGTAATTTTACAGGCACAGAAGATCTTTTGTAAAAACAATAAAATCATTTCAAGTACTTTTCAATTTCTTCCTGTATTTGTTCCTCTCCTCCATGTAGCTCACAAGGTGATGTAAAATACCGTGAAATGTGTTCTCGATATTGTTGTCTGGTTTTAAGACAGGCATGATAACATATCCCGACAGCCAGGATAAGAGAGCGTGTGATATTATCTATATGATCATCAATCTAGGATAAGAATAACGTTTCATATATCATACTCGTCTTTGTATATCTAAATTCACAAACTTTGAAACAAGTACGATATTATACACGATAAGTACGTATTTCTAATGTTACTAAAACAAATCCTACATCTTTGTAAGCTTCAACCAAATATATCTAATTTAAATAAATTAAAATATAGTTTTATAACATGAAATGTAAAGTTTTAGACAGTTAACTTTCATTAAAAATAGGAAAAAGAAAGATATAGTGAAATCTTAACAATTTTTCAAAGTAACATCTGAGAACATAAATACGATTAAAAACACCAAACCTGTCTATACACTATATCATCTTCATCATTATCTTCTTGCTCATCCTCCTCCTCCTCCATCCCGAACAAACTATTGTCTACTCCAGCTCCTAGTTTCCTATCGATCAGGTTGAACAATGTATTGTTACCTTGACTTTGTTGGTAGAACCAGCTCATAACTGTCAGCACTCTGTCAACATCTCGTAGTGAAACAAAACTACACTCATCCTGAAATAACACAATAATAGGCAAAAGTAATAGCAGGTAAAAAGAAAACAAAAACGTGAAACAGTTTCAAAATGTGAAGCAGCATCAACACTATTTTATACATAACCTTTTCCCGAATTTGTTTGCTTAAAGTTTTGTTTTGACAGCTTTAATTCTTTAGAAAATTTAAAACGATACTAAATACTTCAAACAGCAACATATTTAGGTCTACGCGAAAGGACAATAACTCATTAATCACATCTAATGCAATATTTGATACTGATACGCACAATGATCAACACTGTCGTAGTTTCATTCCAAAAAGGCATGATGTAGTTATTACCTTTTGTTCTCTCATATATTCTTGTGATGCTGTCAGGATAGAACTAACAACCTCAATCAAACCTGGTACATCTGGCAGTTTGTCATCTCGAATCTATAAATTGCCCAAATATTTAAAATGACACTTTCATTCATTATGTGCATAATGATAAAAGAATTCTAAGTTTTCAACGCAATGTAGTTTATGAGAATAATTAAATCGTCTTCTGACTTTGAAGCAGGAATTTTGTATATATTTTTTTTAACTTTTTGCAGATAAGCAGATACAAACTCGTGAATTCCATTTCTTGAAATACAAAGATATGTCACCATAGCAAACTATACGTTTAGTTTCATAAATTTACTTTTAATTTAACTTTGTTAGAACTAGAAATGTGTCGTCACGCCACAGATGCCCCCGCATGCAGGCACAATTTCAGATGTTATAATACTTTAGTTTGTTTTTTTCATTTTACGCCTTTCCCCTACAGTATTTCAGTCATATAGGCAGGTAGTTTCCTAACCATCGTTCTTAGAAAGTTACACCAGTACTAGACTACCTTCCTCCGTGCTAAACTACCAAAGCATCTCCCGGGGATCGAACCCACGCCAGAGAGGTAACTGGATTAGAAGTCATCGACTCTAACCCCTCGACCACGAAGGCGGTTCTGATTTTTCAAGTTCAAGAGGGATAACTCTGTCAGCTATCATCAAACCATGACTAAATTCGAAATTGACTAGTGCATTCTAATGACATATCCATATCTTAAATTTGAGTTGAATATGTATAAGTGTTGGGGAGATAATGAATGGGGAATGAAAATTTCCTTTTTTTCAAAGATAAAGGGGTATAACTCTGCCAAATATCATCAAACCATGACAAAATTCAAACTTGACCTGCCCATTTCTTTTACGTATCAATATGTCAAATTTGAGTTGAATGTGTTATACCCTAGAGGAGATAATGAACAGAAACTAAAAAATTCATATTATTTTCAAAGTGAAAGGGACATAACTCTGCCAAAAATCATTGAACGATGACCAATTCAAACTTGACCTGCAAATTCTTTTGACGTATCCATATGACAAATATGAGATGAATGTGTAATACTGTTGGGAAGATAATGAACATAAACTGAAATTATCATATTATTTTCAAATTGAAAGGGGCATTACTCTTCAAACAAGAGCTGTCGGTAGGACAGCATCGCTCGACTATTCTTAGTGTTTGACAGTAAAAAAGCCTTGATAATGTAAATTTTTTTTAATTTAACAAAAGGGCATTTTTTTAAAACCATGTTACAATTATGGGCCTTGAAGAGAGTCCTATTATTAAGAGTATAAAATTTGAACTTGTTTCAAAGCCATATGTCAATAGGCTATGAAAATATCTGAGGTGGTATGCAAACTTAAATGTAAATTCTAAGTCAAAAAGGGGCATAATTCTGTCAAAATGCTTGATACAGTTACCTCATCCTGTCTAAAGGTTAGGGTCATGTTGGTGCACAAGTGTGCAAAGTTTCGAAGCCATATGTCAATGGGCTTTTAAAATATCGAGGTATTACAAAAACTTTAACGAAAACCCTTAGTCGAAAAAGGGGCATAATTCTGTCAAAATTCTTAATACAGTTACCTCCTCCTGTCTACAGGATGGGGTCATGTTGGTGAACAAGTGTGCAAAGTTTCAAAGCCATATGTCAATAGACTTTGAAAATATTTGAGGTATTACAAAAACTTTAACGTAAATACTAAGTCGAAAAAGGGGCATAATTCTGTCAAAATGCTTAATACATTTACCTCCTCCTGTTTACAGGTTAGGTTCATGTTGGTGAACAAGTGTGCAAAGTTTCAAAGCCAAATATCAATGAACTTTGAAAATATTTGAGGTATTACAAAAACTTTAACAAAAATTCTAAGTCGAAAAAGGGGCATAATTCTGTCAAAATGCTTTATACAGTTACCTCCTCCTGTCTACAGGTTGGGGTCATGATGGTTAAAAAGTGTGCAAAGTTCAAAGCAATATGTCAATGGACATTATATGGCAGGGGCATAATAAAAATAAGGGCTTAACTGAATGGAAAAAGAAACATTTTTAGGTAGTATACAAAACATCAACTTACATATCTTCTGACCATTTGTCTGATATAAAGGTCTTCCACTTGTGTGTTCAGCTGACCAAAGTCCCATACCAGGGGCAGTAAACTTTGTGGTAGAGGCTGGACCCTATACACAAGGCGTCTCATTGGTACCCGCCCCAGTCTGTCTGTTGTTTCATCAGCATCCACATGATAACCAAGTCCTGCTTGCTCTAACTTTTTGATTAGCTTATCTGAGTGCCTAACATCAAAATAGAACAGGTCTTTAAGATGACCGGTCCAAATTCTTTTTCATAGAATACTGTCGTAGATAAAACAATGTTTGACAAGGTTTTTATGTACCAATTATTTTTCTAATTCAAACAGTGCCTAAATGAAATTGTTTTCACTTGAAAAACTGTACTTCAAATAAAAAATCACTGTCATGTATTCAAGATCATGTAGACACTTCCTAATCTCTTTAAATGTGTGAATACATATTAATACTTGTCCTGCCAAATTTTTCTAATGAGCTTGCTCTTCTTTAATTACCAATAAGCAAATAAAGAAACATGAATATAATGTTACTTTTATCAAGTATCAAAGAGAAAACGTTAAACGTTTAGTAATATAAAAAATACTATCTGATGATCAAGTTAAACTGAACATTTATTACAGTTTTGATTACATTGAGAAGTACTTGACTACTGAATAGTTTTCATGTGGTAGCAATCATGGTAAATACAGAAAAACATACTTTCTGTATGGGTTACAAGCGGCAACCATTTTTAGGTTTTCACACAATTTCAGTTTCTTTCCTTCCATACTTTTGTCACACATGATTTCTTTAATAAGTCCAATAGCTTCTGTTGTGTTTGCTTCATCAAAGAACAGAACAGTGTAAACTTGGTCTCCGTATTCATCTTTGTTTGTCTGTGCAATTTTCTCAGCTTGTTTAACTTTCCTAATTATGTCTTTGTTAGTCGTCCCTCCATGAACCTAATAAAAGATTCATATAATTCATATCATCAATTTCTTTATTTTTTGTAATATTTATTTCATTAACACTAATATTCCGAGTGAAATAGCAATAATTAGTGTCATAAAATTAATATTATCATGATAGTAGAACTGGGATCACATCTCTTACAAATTGTAAATTACATATTGTAATAGAAATCATACCACAATATTTAAACGAACGGTAACAGGTTGTAGTACCTCTTCTATTTAATAGAGATGTTAAGAAAATAACATTGGACTAGTTTTTTCATTTCAATCAAAACAAAAACACACTTTGCTAAAATATTTTTTTTATCAATGAGGTAATGTTAAGGTCAAATGGCATATTTCTTTACATCATTTACCCTAGAATGAGACACTAAAGTCGGCATTAGAGTAGAAGCATGTACCAATACATATGGGTGTGTCCTTCTTGATAAACCTAAAACAGGATTTTAATCTACAAGATGTTAACAAGTTTGTTTTATTGCTTTTTTTGGGGGGGGAGGGGCGTTATCTTAGGGTCCAAATGATTTGCCCTTTCCGACTATTTGCTCTGTTCAATGGTTTGCCCCTTCCCAAGGATTTTTCCTAGTAAACATAGTAGTTACTAGAAATGTGTCCATAGGACACGGGTTCTCCCTCACTCCACTGTTTTGTCAATCTTATGACTCTAGGTCAAATATTTCTTGGGCTACATGTGCCACAAGTTGAAAACTAAAAATCTTTTACTAAATCAAGGGCAGGAACTTTATAAATACTGAATAAATCCACAAGCCAGCCCTAAGGTGCACAAGTACATAGCCTACCAACATTCTTGTAAATTTTCAGACCTACAGGTCAAATATTCTTTGAGCTATGCATGAACAAGTTGAAAATTGCTGTGCAACATTCCTCTTAGGTTTCATGACTCAAGGTCAAATACCTTTTGGGTTATGTGCGACGCAAGTTGAAAATCGTAAATGTTTACTAAGTCAAGGACAATAACTCTAAAAATACTAAAAAAATGCACACAAAAATACCCAGGTGCACAACTACACATGCTGATCAACATTCCTGTAAAGTGACATGACTCTACGTCAAATACTTTTTGAGTTATGTGCGACACAAAAGAGAACGGACGGACGGACGGATGACAGACGGACAAGGGGGTAAATCTAAATGGCACAAAAATTCGAAATAAAGCAGGTAAAAACTGTTTAAATTTAAATATTTATAAGTCAGTGTTTGCTGTCCGCTGTTATTGTTCTTTCTAGCGAAGCCATAAACATATCCACTGACAAACCTTACCAACAAAACCGTATTATTTAAGCCAGATATCTCCAGTTTTTTAATCCAAATTAGAGCTTAAGATCCTAACCCAATATTATATTCTTTCGACAAATGTTGTGTTATCTAAATATGGTAAATGTTGCAACTGACTTCTTTTAAAGTATCCTTAAAAATCCTATTATCATTATAACCATTTTTACAATAAATTTTCTATTAATTAGCAATTAATAACTAACAAATTAATTTCAAATTCATAAAATGGTTTTTAGTACCTTCATGAGAATCATGTTTGTCATGTTAACACCAGGGGGTTGTTGTAGAGAACACATAAACTTGACCAATCTTGTTTTACCACAACCTGTCTCTCCCATAATGATAACTGGTATATCACACCTTAAAACAGGCAGAAAAAAAAGTTGTATGAAATACTAAACAAGATTTTCTTAAAGTACTTAAAATATTAAAATCAGCATTATATTGAAATGACTTAAAATAACAAAACAATGTCGTCAAACTTACATGGCTCCATCACACATGCATTAAGACTTTTTGCATATCTAAACAATTTGTGTTTTAACATTCTTAGGTATTCTTTACCCAACATAGTTTAAAAATATTACATGAATAAATATCTAACATCATAATTAATTTGCAAAATAACTTACTCCGGATGGATCGAGTTTTAATGTAAAAACAGTCATAAACCTTTTGCAATACAGAAGCAGAAAAAATAGATTTATCATTTGAAATTTCAGTTGACGCCTATAAAAACTCAACCGTCACAGTATGTTTATTACATATTCTGTAACTAGAATTATGAACAGAAAAAGTGCATAATTGGTTAGTTATATCAAAATGACTTCATGTAAACCCATTTTAACAATTAAATGTTGTTTACATACCTAAACCTCATATATATTGCCATGATCTTCTTCACATTGTCAGTTGTCAACTCATAGGTGTCATCAGGATCATGAGGCATATCTAAACCCATACACTTACATAGCTTCAAGATTTTTTCGTGTCTAAAAATTATGTAAAATGATTTACTATATTCAGGCAGCATATACTATTCAATTATAATAATGTACCAGTCCTTCATTCAACAACAATTTCCAAGTAAACTCATTAAGGCTTTGAAATTCTGAACACTTACGTTCATGTGCTTTTCTGCAATAAGACATCTATGTTTACCTTTATTTTGGAAGATGAATAACATATGCCAATCGTGTTTAACAGAATCATCAATGAAAACCATATGTAGTGCAGAAGACAAAAAACTGTAACCTTAAACAAATAAAAGTTAACCCAGGCAAAATTTGAGCAATAAAGGACATACATAATGTATAAAGGCATTACAATATACATGTACATTTAAATATGTAACTGTACATAAGCAGTACCACATATGCTTACAGCTTCCACAAAATATAAACTGTAGATAAACTAGAGATTTAACTTAAATCCTTTGTAGCTGAGTGGCTTCTTCCTAGGTACCTTTTATTTGTACTCATTTCGGTGGATTTAAATCTAATTTGGAATTTTTATATAACAAATTTATTCAATATATAGAGGGGTATCTTAATCCTTTTTCCAAACTAATGGCCATTTCATAGGAATATCAGCAAATACCAAATATGTCCCTTTTTTGTCTTTCCATTGTGTTTAAAGTTAGGTTTGATAGTAACCTGAATGCTAAACTTAGTACTGAATAAATTTCTGTACACTGTACCTAGGCAGGTTATCGAAGTTTTCTTGTATTGGTGCATGGTTTCTAACAAGGGAGTCATACAAATTCGGTGTCATTATTCCTCGTTCTAAAACTTTCCCTGTCTGTTGATCTATCAAGTTTCCTGAACTTTTCTCAATATAAAAGCCAAGGAAGGTGAAACTAAATCTATCAGAGTTGAAAAACAGGTATGGATGTGGACTGAAAAAGTATGAAATATGTGTGAAACTTTGCCATGTATACAAAATATATTATTTTTTAAATATTATAACCTCAGCATGAACAACTTAGAAATAAATGTACAATTTAAAGAAATTTTTGCAAATGATATTTCAAAGTGTCAAACATTCAATTTTCTGGTTAGCCATCATGAAAGAGATCAAGATTACAAAATACATAGTTCAGTGTTTAGGGCATGTAAAATGCTGCGCCTTTCAGTATCTCTCACGAACAAATTTTATCAAACAGTCCTTCAATATGGTTTTTCGATACTTTCAAGAAACCAAATTTCAAGAACTACTCAATACATACTGCATTTAATTTTAAATCAACTGTACCTGCTCTCCCATGTCCTTCTCATTTGATATGCCTGTAACACACTATCATCATTATTTTCCTCCTCATCACTATCCTCCTCATCAACATCGTCATCATCATCAATATCACTTTCATTTTCACCAACATCAATTTCCATTTGGATATTATTTTCTCTGGTTTTTGGTTTAAGCCCTGGTGATTCTTCCTTCATATCCAAAGATCTTGTTGAAAAATCCTAAAGTGCAAGTGCGACACCTATCATGAACTTACCAATTAACTCTCAATTTGCATTCAATCTGACAAATTCATTATTTCTTATTTGTCAACATACTTTTTGTCAGTATTCCATAATAAAATTAACACCAATTTATAAGAATGAATATACTTGGTGACTTAAATACCAATTTTAAAACAATATTATTTCAGAACAATATGAACTAGATGTTAATATTTGTCCTGAAAAGCTCCCAATAAGCATTCTGGCCAAATTCATTCCAAGAACTGGTGTATATCATTTAACAATTTCTTCAGCTGAACTTATATTAAGAAAATTATCATACCCTTGACATCTGTATAAGAAATCTGAGGACAAATTTAGAGAATCCAGGAAGATCTTCTGCAGCAGCTGCACTAACAAACATGTTATTCTCAAAATCTACCAGCTGTGTGTTCAGAAACCAAACAAAATGATGAAGCTCTGACCAAGATGGATCTTCTAATCCACAATGTCTGGAATAAGGACATTTTTAATGGCCAATAAGGTAAATAATATCATACTGGTATAAAGCATCAGTAAAGTAATGATTGAAAAAAGGAAAATGTATTTTGGAAACACAAAATAATGGCCATTGAGAAAATATAAAATGAGCATAACCTTGGGTAACTGACCAGATTCTCTACTTTTGAAATGACAGTAAGGAAGTGCGTATACTTTCAAGTCATAGGTACAAGTAGATAGTTTCAAATATATTTTGATATCATTTTAAGAACATTAGAAGGATTCACTGGAACCTTAAAAGAGTTTGTAGACATGTTTCTGGATCTTCCTCTGGGTCGTCTGGTTGGACATCATCAAGTTGTCTCCTTTGATCTAGTCTCAACAAGTACTGGAATGTACGCTGGAATACTGGGCTTCTAAACTGTTGCTCATCAAATAACTGATCGGAGTCCTTGTAACCTAAATATATCAGACAAGTAAACATATACTTTTGTAATTTGTATATTAGGACTACATTTCAAAGACATCTCAGGATATCGTCTGTGAGTACCGCTATCTCTCGAATTATTCCTTAAAAGTAAGGTAATTAAAATTGTTCAATTTTGATATTTCTTAATTTAGTATTATGTCTTGTCTTGCAACATGTATTTACCTGGTTCAATTAAATGTATCTTAGTACATCACCATCAGGTCGGAAGCTAGAGTTCAATAATATTTATAAAAATTTTCCTCAAAATTTTCTATAATTATTTATTGGGATTCATACGTGCACCTGAAATATTTATCCATCATGAACTATACGATATGCAAAAATTAAAAAAAAATACTGTAGTAATGTATACCTTTCAATTGTACCCCAGAATAAATTTGCAAACTTTCCTGAGGTGATCGACATGTAAGATCTGGTAAAATATTCAACATTGGGTGTGCATACTCTAAGTCATCTACCTTTAAATCACAAAAACAGTTTTTCACAAAAATAATCAGCAGCAAATATTCACATATTCAATGTTAAACAATAAATACAGGCCATATATGATAATAATGCTATAATTATTTATTGCCGCTATTCGATATTAAATTTAAAGTGATAAGTTTCCAGAGCAACACTTCAATGTCTAAAACAAAACTTTGTTTTTTTCTAAATACTTCACTCCTAAATATAAATTCTAATGAAAGCAGAGAGTAACTAACTATTTATTCAAGTGAACAATGCATTTTTAAATTTGATTGCGGTGAAGTGTATAAAATGAAAATTTAATCATTTTCCTACGGTTTGTCCCAGGAGAAGGATTAAAGTTGAAAATTTGCCAGTCCATGTCACATAAACTGTCTTAAATAGTGTTAATTTAACCAAAAATTTAAGCTACGTCTATCTGAATAAATACTCTACAAGCCGAAGTCAAAGACTAAGTTAGCTTGAAGCTGATCCAACATTGCTCATTTTAAGCTGTTTTTAAACGTATTAAAATCTATCACAAAATATAAACAACAAATCACTGTTTGTGATATAATTGTGCACACATGTGTAAAATCATATTAAGTTGAAATGCAATTCTGTTTTTTAAGACATGTGGTAAATGGTAACCTTTCTATTAGTAGTCTGCATCATTAAAGGCATGGTCTCAATTAGGTACAGATCGGTAGGAGATTTCCTCCAAACAAAACCTGTCTTGTCTGTCAAACATCCAAGAAGCAAAAGGTTGAACAGTAAATAGTCAACTCCATTTTCCACCTGAAAAATAATTGAACAATCTATCATCTTAAAAATTTATAAAAATGTATCCATCCTACTTACAAAAGTTAAAGTATTATGTTTTTTATAAATATAAATATGAGTCGTAAGGATGTAAATTGAATTTATAAAACTACCTCATGAGCCACATCAATGTGGAAGAGTCTGGCAGTGACCTCATCTGGTTTTGCTGTGTGTTCTAGAAGTCTCTCTATTAAATAATGTAGATCTATAGTTTTCTCTTGTAGGGGTATAGACACTGTCACGGTATTAACTGCCCTTTTGTTCAATCGAGAAACATCTGTCTCTCTCCTGTTTTTATACAAGGTTTTCCCAACTCCTGCTCTCCATGATTTAATAACACGAACAGAATACCTACAATTAGTATGATACATCTGTATATTTTATCTTTTCATTAAAGTTGTGATACTTGGAAGCACAGAAACACACTAAACCTAATTTCACTAAAAGCTGGTCTGACCTTATTAATTTAACATTCATATCAATTAATACATACATGTATCTAATAATATGTTTATTACATTTCGGGTATATACATGTATATATATTGCTAAAGAATACAAATATTTACTAAATTCTCTGACCTTTGATGATCAACACTAGCTGCAGGTCTTGCTCCAGATATAGTTGTTTGTGAGACTGTAAGTTTGGTTGATAGGTATTCCCGTAGGTGAGATATATTTCCCAACAATGGTTGTCTCTTGAATTTGTCCAGGGAAGAGGCCATTGTGGATTTATACTCATTGTCAGAACCACATATAACAAGGAGATGGTAATTCAAGTCTGAAATAATTGTATTTTCTTTCTTTTTTCTAAAATATTTTCAATTTGAGTGATACTGCCAGCCTGCTTATTTTGGCTTTATGAGTTAAAAAACTAATAAAATTTGATGTTAAATTCATGCACTAGATACTATTTCGTTTAAAACAAAATAAATTCCAGTTCTAAATTTATCAAATTTAAGATACTCGATACTACAGTTCAGCAGGGTCTTTCAAATAGATTCTATTCTACATTGTGTTCAGGCATACGTTTAGTTTATCATAAAGCATAACATTTCATTCTATTTGAAGTAACCTGTGTTCGGTCATACTTTGGTTATTATTTAACTTGTGTTTAAATCAAAATTAAGTAGCAGAAAAATAGGTGCATAATTCATGCATTTTAGTCACTCTTTAAAACAAAACTACAGTATTATTAATACAAAATTAACCTTATTTAAAAATAAAACTAGAAATGTGTCATCATGCCACGGATGCCCCCGCATGCAGCCAAAATTTCAGATGTTATAATTATTTAGTTCCAAATTTGTTTGCACAAATTATTTTTTTAATTGTAAGTTCAAAAGCCCTTAAAAACTTTTCAATGTTAACAACAAAACCATTTTCTATACAATGTTCAAGGCAATGGGAAATTATTCAGTCTTAACCTTTTGAAAAAAAAGCATATTTCATATTTGTAAGCCAAATAATGGCTACATAATTTCCACAAAAGTATGAGTGCTGAAAAACTGAAAGTTCAAATTTTTCCAACATTCAAGAAAGATAAGTTTGTCAAAATCATTGAAACATGCCAAATTTAAACTTAAACTGCTTTATTTCCTAAGATGTTATCTATATTTTTCCAAAAGTGAAAGGGACCCAACTCTGCAAAAATCATCGAACCATGAGGTCCGAAAGTTTAAACAATTTGACCTGCGCCCTTCCTTTTTGACATATTCATTATGTCAAATTTGGAGTTCTAATATGTAACACTGTTGGTGAGGGATAATGAACAGAAACTGTAAATTTATATTATTTTCAAAGTGAAAGGGGCCAAAATTACTCTGCAAAAATCCATTGAACCATGACCAAATTTTCAAACTTTGGCCTGGGCATTCCAAAAACATATCCAATATTGTCAAATTTGAAGTTTGAATGTGTTTGTAAACCGTTGGGGAGATAATAAACAGAACTGAAATTTCATAATTATTTTTTAAAAAGTGAAAGGGGCACAATAACTCTGGGCAAATTTCAAAACCATGACCAAATTCAAACCCTTGACCTGTATTTTTCTCATGAAATTATATCCAATGTCAAATTTGAGTTGAATGTGTTTGTACCGGTTGGGGAATAGAACCGTAGTTGGTAATGGAAAACTTTGAAAATTTCATATTATTTCCAAAAGTGAAAGGGGCATAACTCTGCAAAAATTTCTCGAACCATGAACCAAAATTCAATCTTCTTGTTGACCGTATTTTTTCATGAACATATATCCCATTGATGTCAAGTTTTGAGTTGAATGTGGTTGTAACCGTTGGGGATAATGAACCCGGAAACTGAAAATTTCATTTTATTTTGAAGTAAAAGGGGCATAACTTTGCAAAAAAATCAAGAACCATGACAAGAATTCGAATTTTTGACTTGTATTTTCCTCATGACAATCCATATGTAAATTTGAGTTGAAAGTGGCACCGTTACTAAAGATAATGAACGGAAACTGATGATGACGGAATGACAGGAATGACGGAAATGACGGAATGACGGAAGGACGGAATGACGGAAGGACGGAAGGACGGAACAGGGTAACACTATATGCCCCGGCCATTACATGGCGGGGGCATAAAAAATAAATATAAATAAGATTGCAACTGAATATTAATTATTTCACAACTCTAATGTTTCTGTCATATGCTTTGAAAATAAAATATGGCAAATTTCGAGTGAGCTTGACATGAAAGCTAAACTGGAAATTAAATAAAAGCAGTTTTGTGTCATAACTACAATAAACATTAGCTTGAATTAATTAAGCTCCCTTTTTATTGAGACCGAAGTTTACCTCATGATGCAAGCAAGTTTAAATCGCTGATTTTAAAAGTTACAGGTGTATTTTACCTGTCAAACATGCAAGTGAAGGGAGCAAACTGGTTATTCATTTTAATTTGATCCTTCCATGGTTGTATGAATTCTAGGTGAAAGGTCTGATAACCAATTGTAGGAGCATTCTAGACAAAAGCCCCCCACCTAAAAATGCATTGCCCTCTCGTAAAATTTGCTGGTAGGACAGGGCCTTTTCCATGAGCTTTACTGGTAATAATCTTAAAAGCATCATTTGTTCGAATTTTATACAGTGGAGCCTTGCTAATCCGAACCCTTCTAATCCGGAATCCTTTCTTATCCGAACGAAGTGTCCAGTCCCGATTTTATTCGTTCTATTTTCAATAGTAAAAAAACCTTTCGGATCCGGAACCTGTCTACTCCGAATTCCGGATGATTTTTTCAATTTTTGTTCTTATTTTACTTTAAAATTTACCTCTCGGATTCGAACAGATTTTGCCAAATATCACACCTTCATTCAAAATAACAAATAATCGCGAATCTTGCAGGTGTAAACATAAACCAAAATGATAAGTGTAATTTCGTTTGATTAATGGGTGAAACGTATGATCTGCGAAGGTGTGAAAAATTACACTTAGCTTGTCTTGATATCTGTCTATAATTGCTTAATTGATTGTTTTTCGTCAGCATTCATAATATTTTTGATATTATGCAATAGAAATATATATTCAATCCTTTTTAATGGATTCAATGATACGTGATTAACAGTAATGAAAATTAATGAAAACTGTCAGTGAATTTGGATAGTCGCTGATTCGGATAAGTGTAAAACAACAATTGACAAATGCTGTACGAATATTTAATCATGTCTCGGCCTCCTGTTTAACATCGTAGGTTAACTTACCATTGAGGACATAATATTTTTGCTTATTTATTTATTTCTTTATTTTTGTATTCACATGTATTAACATAAACGATAAGAGAGTGCAAAAATAAAATATCTGAATTGAAATTTCAAATGCATTCCCTTTTTTTCCTTAAACTATTTTGCAAATAACATGAAAAAAAAAACATGTAAAAACAAGAGCCGGTTGAACCGGGTGATGCTCCCCGAATAGGTTTTAGACACATGAAGGTATACCTCTTGTAGTGTCAGAGTTATGTCACAGACAAAGTTCAAAGTGTAAAAACAACCCAAATGTTGTGCACGATACATTGTCTCAATATGGTGATCATTTCTGTGAAATAGTTGTAAAATCAGACTTCAAAATAAGGAAGTTATGGGCTAGACACGATTTTTTGCTGCAAGGGTCATGCTGTGACCTTGACCTTCAAGTAGCGGCCCAATGTTTGCATGTGACACGTCGATTCAATATGGTGATCATCCCTGTGAAATAGTTGTTATATCCGACTTCAAGGAACGAAGTTTCTGGCCGAACGCGATTTTGCTGCAAGGTCATGCTGTGACCTTGACCTTCAAGATAGCGACCCAAATGTTGATCGCAACACGTCATCTCAATATTGTGATCATTTCTGTAAAATATTTTTAAAATCTGACTTCAAATAACGAAGTTATGGGCCAGACAAGATTTTGCTGCAAGGTCATGCTGTGACCTTGACCTTCAAAGCAGCGACCCAAATGTTGCGTGTATGGTGATCATTTCTGTGAAATAGTTTAAAAATCTGACTTCAAATAACAAAGTTATGAGCTGGACAGGATTTTGCTGCAAGGTCATGCTGTGACCTTGACCTTCAAGGTAGTGACCCAAATGTTGCGCGCGACACGTCGTCTCAATATGGTGATCATTTTTGTGAAATAGTTTTAAAATCCGACTTGAAATAAAGAATTTATGGACCGGACACGATTTTGATGCAAGGTCAGGCCCTGTGACATTGAAACCTTCAAGTAGCGACAAATGCTGCGGCGCGACACGTCGTCTCAATATGGTGATCATTTCTGTGAAATAGTTTTAAAAATCCGACTTCAAATAACTAAGTTATGGGCCGGACACGAATGGGACGGTACGGACGGATGTTCCTCACAACAGGACACCGTAATTATGTGGCTACTTGCTTATTGTTCTGCTCTATTGTTCTTTTTAGCCACACAAAAGAAAATAGCCACATAAAAGCATTACGGAATGAATGACATCAAAGAGAAAGAACAGTTACCTATTGTCCCTCTAGCCACATAATTACTCTCCTGTGAGTGCGGACGGACCGACGGACGGACGACAACCCGACGACTATATGCTCCCCCGAAATTTTTCAGGGAGCATAAAAATTCGGAAACCTTTCTAATCCGGAAACCTTTCTAATCCGAACTTTTATTCTGGTCCGGACGAGTTCGGATTAGACAGGTATAATAATAAATAAAAAGTATAATTTTATTTTATACTATATGAACAGATAATTATACATACACTGATGATTAAAATACTTAGAACTTGTTGAATTGCGATGGATCCAGTTATATATATGTGATTCACAAGTCGCAGTATTATTATTAAATTTTTGGCATTTTCCTTTGAGTTGTATAAAAAGATTCCGTGTCATATGTGACATTTGTAGGAACCCTTAAAATCTCACATATCAGTCTCGACATTACTATTATAAGTACAGGTATCTAAATACCTTCATTGTGATGAACTTCCAGCAGATATTCCTCTAGACATCTCTCTGCAGCTTCACTGACATCATAATCTAACATGTCAGCATTTACCAGACAGTGAATCTTTCTTCCTCCATCAAATATTGCTCTCCTCCAAAATATATCAACCTGTTATGGAAAATATAGACATCATTTTATGATTTAAGGCAGACAGCACTGAAATTATATTATAATTAGTTTGGTGAGTTCATCAGCAATAAAACTGATTAAAAAACTTACTTCCACACATAACACAATTTGAGATATATTACATTATTATTTTTCAAAATAAACATTCAGACATCATGACCTGAAGATGTTTCTTTCGCTTGTAAGATCAAATAATATTTTACCCATGAACACCATTTGATATCTTTGCACTTATGCCTACACTATTCATGAAAAGTTTACACAATGAGTTCATTGTGAATAATATTTCGATCCTGCATGCAAAACAAACACGTTGCTTCAAAATAATACATTATAATAAATGATTTAATATATATGTTTGTTGTCAGTAAAAAACAAATTCCAGTCAAACGCAGGCATGCAATTTGTTTGCGAAGCACAATCCATTTTCTGTGAGTTCGGTTATGTGTTTCGACACATGAATGTTTGTTTAACCAATTACTTCATGAGCAATTTGTAAAAAATGGCTGTTGTCATTGAAAAGTATCCCGTTACAAGTTCAAATTGCTATAAAACTATAAAAACTGCTTCAATACTAATCAAACTTGGCACAAGTGTTGACTAGACTATTGTCTTTGCAACAACATGCCCAGGTTTAAATTTCCTGTTACCATGGCAACGAGGGGACATCTAAAAATTGCCAAAAATCACTATTTTGCGTTGATTTTTTCCATCAAAAGTGATTTCAAAGAGATAGAGTCAAATGCTTTTCAGCGTTGGTTACACGTTACCTTATGATCGATCTGGGGTCATTTGTAGCCTCTCACAAGTCCAAAATTTTCTTAGCGATGAGGAGGACTGCAGTCTCCCTTCAAACCCCCTAAACAGAAGGAGGCACATCCCCCTTCTGGCAACCCCCAGATGTATCCTTTAGTTGGAAGACCGCGCCGAAAAAGTGGTAACTTTTTAAAACAACATTTCTTAAACAAAAACAAGTGTTGGGGGCCTAAATAAGGCATTTTTTCATCATTTGAGACAACAGATAGGGGGTGAAAAAGGCGTTAAAACGTGTGTATATCGCGTAATAGGTAAATGCAACTGATAACTTACGACAACTGGGGGTGATGTAAGTTTATGTGAGGCTTACTCATGAATCAAGTGGCTTATTCACAACATTATATCTTTGAAGATACTTTATCATTCTGATATATCAAACTTACTTCATCTTTTGTTGTGTTAGGTGTACACATGAGTATTTCATCAGACTGCGGTAAAGGTTGATCTTTGTCCATCATATATATAGATAGTGTTGTCATTAATACATCTCCTACAATATCAATAAGAACCAGTTACCCAAATATATGAACATGATCTCAATACAGAACTTTTCTGAATGCTTAAAGTAAAATAACGTCAGAACTTTAAAAACTTGCAAGTCAAGAAAGAGGCAACATTATTTTCTTCTAATTAATAAATGATTATGTTTTTGTCTGCAAGTGGAAGAGATGGTCAGAACTAAATATACCAAGTTTAAAAGCAATGCCTCGTCTAGTCCGAAATGCAAAAGTTGAGCTTGAAAATTTTAATGGATTTTATTGTCAAAATACATTACAGAGTTAAGTTTACAACTGTATTCAAAGCAAAACCATTATTATAAGATTAAAAGAATAACATTTATTGTTTGTACCATAAACTCAACTGAAATGTGAGGCTGACAGTACAATAGATTCAGAACAAGTAAGCTACCCTATATTCTATAAATAACCAAGCTAAAAATTGCATTTATCAGTTGTGTAGCTCCTTATAGCCTACACATCCTGAAAGAAAGCTAGTATAAATCATTTATTTATCTACCGGCATTTTCTATTATAATTTTAATCACCATATACTTATTAAACTATATATACACAAAATAACACCTCCAACAATCAATAGCATAACTAGAAATTGTTACAAATGCCGAATACGCCCGACACGCGCTTGTCAAAACACGCGCTATGTAGTTAATAATTTTGCACATAGGGAAAACGCAGAGGTTATAAGTTATTTTTTTTTTAAATGTTTTTTGAATGATTTGTCTTACATCAATAACATAAATTTGAGTTTGGATTTGAAGTTTTCATGACTTCTTTTAAGGGCAATATGTTATTTCACCCTGCGATTCCTGCACTTCTACTCAGTGAGATCTATCTACCTACAAAGTTTCAAGTTGATACCTTTTTATAGTTCTCAAGTTATTTTAAGGGCAAATTTCAAGGGTAAAAATGAATAAAAGGCATTAACTCCAAAATTTGTAATGAGAAAGTTACGCCTTATTCACTGCACTTCTACTTAATGAGATCTATCCATCAACAAAGTTTCTTGTTAAAACCCCTTGAGGTTTAAGAGTTATGTCCCGGACAGTATTCAAAGTGTAAAATAAACAAAGGGCACTAACTCCAAAATAGGGCAAGGCAGGGTTACGGTTCATTTGCACTGCAATTCTACTCAATGAGATCTATCTTATGGAGAGCGTTCATTGCCAAAATTCCAGACATGTAAAGTGTTCCTTTGGAAAACTACTTTTGAAAATGTGATCTTGTATGCCTATAATTTTTGACTGTATCCGTGTACTGCAAATAATATGCTTCTTAATCCAATCTTTTAATCGAAGGTTCTAGTTTAAAAAAAAATAAGTTTACATATAGATTTAAACAACTGACCTAAAATAAAATAAACAACAACAAAACAAGAATGCTTTTGTGAAAAAATGCTGTGCCACCGTATTAAAATAACGGAAGTAGATTTTTTTGTTACTATACAATTGAACTTTGCCATAATGCAATAGTTACTAGTGAATTTGGGGTCAAGGCCATATTTCAGCATGTCAAATTATTAGACACATATGTTTCTTATGTTAATATACAAAGGCCATAGTGCAATAATTTATTCAAAAATAAAATATACTCCTATTGACAAAAAAATAGGTATTAACTGTATAACATAGATGTATTAAACTTTAAAATGCAGGTACAGTACCTTTTTCTTAAATACCATCTTTTCAATTAAGCATTACCAATTCCTTAAAACATATTCATTATTAAATACATGGTGTAAATCATAATGTCCTTATAATGTGCTCAAATTGTTTCATATAACATCTCTACAAACCTCACAACTTTCTTGCTAGAGTTCATTACATGAATCATTTCATAAGTACCTCTGGAAATCATGACCCAGCTATTGAATATTTTACATAACTAGAAATGTGTCCATAGGACACGGATGCCCCCACACACCACTGTTCTGTCAATCTTATGACTCTAGGTCAAATATTTTTTGGACTACATGTGCCACAAGTTGAAAACTAAAAATCAACAAAGGGCCATAATTCTGTTAAATTTGGTCGCAGCAAAAATTCCTACCTTTACTACCATCTACACATTAAGGTTGTTAATCCCTGGAAGTTTAAGCAAAATCTGCCATCCGGTTTAAGAGGAGTTGCATTCACAAAATTTCTACATAGTATATAATGAAAAAAACAACAAAGGGCCATAATTCTGTTAAATTTGGTTGCAGCGAAAATTCCTTCCTTTACTGCCATCTACACATAAAGGTTGTTCATCCTTGGAAGTTTAAGCAAAATCTGCCATCCGGTTTAAGAGGAGTTGCATTCACAAAATTTCTATATAGTATATAGTGAAAAAATCAACAAAGGGCCATAATTCTGTAAAGTTTGGTCGCAGCAAAAATTCCTTCCTTTACTACCATCTTCACCTTAAGGTTGTTCATCCCTGTAAGTTTAAGCAAAATCTGCCATGCGGTTTAAGAGGAGTTGCGTTCACAAAATTTCTACATAGTATATAGTGAAAAAATCAACAAAGGGCCATAATTCTGTTAAATTTGGTCGCAGCAAAAAATTCCTTCCTTTACTACCATCTACACATTAAGGTTGTTCATCCCTGTAAGTTTGAGCAAAATCTGCCATGCGGTTTAAGAGGAGTTGCGTTCACAAAATTTCTTCATAGTATCTAGTGAAAAAATCAACAAAGGGCCATAATTCTGTTAAATTTGGTCGCAGCGAAAATTCCTTCCTTTACTACCATCTACACATTAAGGTTGTTCATCCCTGTAAGTTTAAGCAAAATCTGCCATCCGGTTTAAGAGGAGTTGCTTTCACAAGATTTCGGGACGTACGGACGGACTGACGGACTGACACTCGGACGGACAAGTGCAACGCTATATGCTCCCACTCTGTGGGGGCATAAAAATTGACATAACGCCGCCTGTCAGTCAAACTGGCAGGGGTCACAGAGATAAGCCAATCAGCGATCGTAATCAGTTCCATGCTAAGATGCCTGCGAAGTCAACCATTTTCCTTAGACAAGCTACTTGTCTAAGACAATAGTAATTGAGATTGAACTTATTTAATTTTCTGTCAATTTAAAGTTTTTTTATCGATATAATAATTAAGTTACCAAATATACTGACATACTGACAGATCGAGTAAGTTTACTATACAGAAAGTCAATAATTTTCTACATATGGAAATAATAATTACATAACATTTATCCTGGCTATAACACAATGCATTGGAAAAGGAAAAGATTTAAACAAATCCACTTTTTTATTTCCATTCTATCTATTCATAATCACATTACATATAATAAGGTCCAAGAATATCCAGAACATATGACATTTTTTCGTTTCTAAAGTATAGCTTCAATAAAAACGCAGCCATGGAAATGCAAATATAATGAGTAAATACAATAAAAAAATTGGGTAAATTATGTTACCTGAATATTTCTATTAAAGTTTAATAAATAAATATCAAATATTCAAATAGATCTGATTAATACCATTGACATCATGTCTGATGTGAATCATATTTTAAAGAGAATCACGTTGTGTTATGTCGTGAATCATATAAAATGTATGTTAACAATACATAATCACATATAAAAAGTTAACTAGGGCATTCAAATTTCTGAATCAATTTTAACCATTCATGAACAAATTAATGTATTATCTAAACTAAATTTCGCACATAAAACTCGAAAAATGATATTAAATTCATTTGTGTTTAACTGAAGTACTGTTTTTTGTTTCGCTTTTTCGATTTCAATATAAAACGGTCATAATATAATCATATACTTTTCTACATACAGTTTCTCTTTAAATTTGTAAGATATAATGATATAATGATGTTTTAAATTTTCATTGAAGTCAACAAGAAATGACACGATCTTTATTACAACGTTTCATTATCATTAATACGTGAAAGCAGATATTGTCCTCTTTTTACTTTTTTGAAATATCATAATACATTTATACATTGAATATTTGATCTACTTTGAATAAAACCATTAAAAGCATCAACATTTTATATATAGAAAATTTAAACAAGGTAAATATATTGGTAACATTAAGGACATAACAGTTTTGCGAATACATCGATACCTTATTTTGTCTAAGGCTCTTACTGAGCGGGTCACGTGAATCAGTGGGCGGAGCGATCCCTTCTCTGGCGTAATGCCAATTGCAGAACATGTATTAGACATTCCAATGTAAGTTGTTTCCTTTCACATTAAGAGATTTTTAAAATTTTACTATATGTACATAATGAAAATGAATGACCCTGGAGCGGGGCCAATTTTGACCCCAGGGCTATAATTTGAAGAATCTTGGTGGAGATTCACTACACTATTTTTCATGAAAAATATCTTATCTCTCGCTTTTGTCAATTCCAAGAAGTATTTTTTTTAAAGTTTTAATTATATACACATATGGAAAACCTATGACCCCTGGGCTGGGTCAATTTTGACACAAGGGGCTAAATTTGAACAACTTTGATAGAGGACCAATATATTATAAGAATCTTACACTGGCTGCCGGTACAGACCGGAATATCTAGCTTGAGGGTAACTGTTTACGGCGTTAACGAGGCTCCGGTTGTCGATGCAGACGGAAATATCTAGCTCTCGTGTAACTGTTTAGCGGAATTCTTTGAATTAATTTGGAAGCCCTTTACCCAAGGAACAATCCTGCCAAGTTGGGTTGAAATAGGACAAGTGGTTTTCCACAAGTGAATTTTCTAAGGTCATTGTGACCTGACCATTCAGCTTATGACCCTAAAATCAATAGGGATCATGTATTGTACATGGCTGTTCATCATATAAAATTTTACAGCTGTAGGTTGATTAATACTTAATTTATTAAGCGAAAACCGTTTTCAGTTTTAAGGTAATAATGAGCTTGACCTTTGACTTTGTAACCCAAAAATTAATAGGGGTCTTCTACTCAATATTGACAACCAACCTATAAAGTTTGAACACTGTGGGCCAAATA